AGAAATGCTGGAGACGTGTATGTACGCAATTCTGGGATGGTCCAGAATTTGACTCGTCATTGGGCCCCGATATCCCTATCGCACCGGGTGGAATCGCTGGTCATCGAGATCCTAGCTTGGACCCCAGCTTCTGGGAGACTGACTCCGAAGACCCGCCTCAGATATACGATATTTCTTTTCCGGAGAATGATCCACACTCTGAAAACAGCTTCTATGCAGATGTCTCTAAGGCGGGCCATATCGACTCGATTTTACTCGGTGGAGTACGTCCGGATACTCCAGAAGAGGAGCAGCCCATTGAATTACAGAGGAGACAGACATCACCGATCAGTATTGCAAGCCTCGACGTAGTCTCCTGTTCATTCCCAACCAAGGCATTTCGGATGGCCGACCCAAATTCGAGTTCTACCCTCGCTGCCCATCCCGTTGATCCTAGCTCAATTTATACCAATGCGGATCCTGTTGCCCCTACTCCACGTGCTCTGACAGGAAAGCGTGTTAGGCCTCATACTTCTCATAGGCGCAACAACAGCCTCACAGACTCACTCCGAGAACACGGCTCAGTTACCGAAAAGGTTGTTTACAAGAACGCGGAATTCCTGCTAACTCTGCCATATGCTGGTAGTCTCGTCCGAGGAAATGTCTTGCCTCCCACGCAAGCTTTCGTCGATGTGGATCCCCCAAGTCCATGGGGAACAGCACGCCAAACCACCATCTTCCAACCTCGCCCGACCGAAGGGTCAAAGGCAAAAGGCTCTGGTTCGGCGATGTCAGGCCAGGGAATGAGGAAATTAATTGGCGGTGTTCGGAGAGCGTTAAGTATGAGGGGCCAGGGAGTTTTACCGACTCATGGAAATCTCATCGACATCGGACCTATCGGACCTCGGGGTGCTACAATCAATAGGATTCCAGGAACAGCAGTTGTACCACAGGCACGATCGCCTCGTCCGAATGGTCCTCGTGCGCTTGTGCGTATCGATGTCCTTGGCGCTACAATTGCTGAGGACTTCAAGAAAGCTGTGCGGGAGGACGCCATTGTCGAAGAGGTGACCGATGATGGTCACGTCGGCAATATCAATGATCCCATCGAATATTCGCCGGCTCATTTGGACTCTTCATTTGAGCTCAAGCGTACGAGTGATAGTACAATTACAGCGGGAAGCAAGTCTATAGTTATTGTAGATGGAACCTTACCTGGGGACTACCCACCTATGACTAGTGCTTTGACAACCTGGAATCCTTCTGTCGAAGCTTTTGCAGAGAGCATGATGAGGGCCGGTGGTGCTGATCTGACACCACCAACTACACCGCCTGGATATGCAGTACATGGTGGTACTCCGAGGAGGTCTTCCTACCTCCTCGGGCAGCAGGTTTTTCAGTCTTCAACTTCTACCAGTCCCCTGCCCCCGTTCGTACCAGATATGGATACGTTAGGCCAGGGACATTCTTCTGAGGATACCAATACCAATACTCGTGCGTCAGTCAAGGTCGTTGCACAGTCACCCAGCAGGCCCCCATTGAGCTACGTAAATCGGCATCAGCGCCAACAATCAAGCCGAAGCTATCGATCGAGAGGATCTATTGCTCATCGACGATGGGCATCTTTTCAGAGTGGCATCGCGGCGCAGTCTACGATCAGGAGTTTCGATGCTACCACGTGCTCGGAAGGCTCAGTAACATCTGAAGTTATGCCTCCACCACTAAGAGTTCTCCGGAGACGGCCAGGTGGTGACCTCAGAGGCGTAACTAATGTCCACGATCTGGATGCTCCCCTTCATAGGTCACGGTCTGTGGGCTCGTTGACAACTTATTCGGAATCCATTAGGAGTTCTTACCTGGGTAGCCCTATCGGGGACTCGGGCGGATATGTCGATGTTGTTAGCAGCGATTTTTCACAAAAGCGAGGAGAGGTCTTTTCCTTAGGAGCTATGGCAGAACAACCCTCAAAGCAACCAGCGTCTCTAATTACTACCCACTCATCGAAACCGATCATGCGGCCCTCATTCGAGGCCGAAGCCCAAAAGCTCGCGCAAATTCCCGATGACGTGGATGATGATGGAGGAGTCGAGTCAGCACTTCTAAAACTCGAGGGCAAATACGAGAGAAGAATTGCTAAGCTCTCAATGGAACCATCGAAGTTGCCTCCTGGTACCCTTAAGGAGCTCAAAGAAAGATCCCTTAGAACTCCCGAGGTAGAGTACGTCCAAGAAGAGAAGCGAAAGCACCGTCAACAACACATCGGCGAGGAAGAAAACGCCGTCGTGTCACCATTGGAGGAGAATTTTGATATTTTACCTCATGGGCAATCAGCTCTTTCTCGAGCCTCCGAGGTAGTTTCGTTCCTGTCGGAAGATTCGAGAGAGACTTATAACTCAACCCCGCTACTTGATCGCGGATTAACAGACGATGGGCGTAGCAAAACGGCTACGCGTGAGTGGGCAAATCACTCAATATTAATAGGCCCCGACACGCCGCAAGGAGAAGAAGACGGATCAATAGCTGCCTCCTCGCAGCATCCGTCCTACGAATTTGTACAGAAAACGGAAAGCATTAATAAGATCAAGCCGGGAGCAACTACCCCTGAGGATCCCTCATTCTTGGACGTGGATAGTGACAATGAATCTGATCTGTCATCTGAAATGTCGGGTGAGATGCCTGATACGGAAGATTACATTTTTGGAGAACCACATTCACCCAAGAGACCTAGTCCTATAAACACCGGGACGTCTCCTGATACAGAGGGCGGAGTTAATTTTACGTCTAGAGACAAGCCCCCGTCCCCTCCTATGACACTCACACAGGCCTCTCGGGGGTCATCGGATGCAGAGCATGTCCCGCAACTTCACGAGAATCAGTTGTGGGCTCAGAAACCACTACCGCCTACCCCTGATACCACGCCTACCACTGCAATGCATCGTCACGGTTCTGAATCGCTCAAGGATCCAACTGGCACCGGAGAGGCTCTTCGTAACGCGCCTAGATTATCCAGCGAGAGAAATCAAAAGGACACAGCACATTTGCCCTTTATCCTCGCCTTCGACTCCGAAATTCTCGCTCAGCAGTTTACTTTAATCGAGAAGGACGCATTGAATGAAGTCGATTGGAGAGAGTTAATTGACATGCGTTGGAAAAACTCTAACAATGACTCGCGGTCGTGGGTTGACTTCCTTCGGAACACAGATGCTCATGGTGTTGAAGTCGTCGTTGCACGGTTTAATATCATGGTCAAGTGGGTAATCTCGGAAATCGTACTGACTCAAAATGTGGAAGAGCGAGCCCGTTGTATCATCAAGTTTCTCCATATCGCTGTCCATTGTAGGAAGTACCGCAACTTTGCTACAATGAGCCAGATCACTATCGCATTGACATCGAATGAAGTGGCAAGGCTCGCCAGGACTTGGGCTATGGTTCCACCTACTGATCTAAAGACTATGAGAGACCTGGAGACGCTGGTTTCGCCAACAAGAAACTTCTACAATATACGAGCGGAGATGGAAGGTCCTGGCGATGCAGCCGATATAGGATGCATTCCTTTCGTTGGTATCTATATCCACGACTTGCTTTATAACTCACAACGGCCATCCGAGATTGCCAGCTCGCCGACTACGGCGCCTCTAGTCAACTTTGAGCGCTGCCGTATCGCTGCTTCGGTGGTGAAAACATTACTTCGTCTACTTGAAGCCAGCACTCATTATCAGTTTCAGCCCATCGAAGGTATTACCGAGCGATGTCTCTGGATGAGTGCTCTGAGTGACGAGGACATCAGAAAGCATTCTGCAAGTCTCGAATAGACAAACCAGTGCTGCCTACACAAAAAGCTACTGGCGTCAGAGCCCACCCGCCGAGACCGTTCAACTTATATCTGTATATCACCTATCCATGATCGATATCACCATCGTTTACATGCTCTTTTCATTTAGTGTCAATCATCATAGACGATACTTGGCCCGCACGAGATCACCATTGTATTAGTACGCAGGTTCCGCCACCCTTATTATATAATACTCTACGATACCACGATACGCCCTAGAGGCCTTTGGTCGCTACATATTAGTGAGGAGGGATAGGTTATAGCACAGGAGGAATGCAATTTTGCATTTCGTCGTCTACTCAGTTCTAGGCAAATTTTCCTTATTTTCCTTCTTGGATGTAACATTTTTCTCCCTTTATACCACATTATTCAAATTTAAAGACAACTTCGGCGCGAATCATACGGCAGGGGCCACGGGACGGGCTGCAGTTGGTAGCGGCGAGGAGTAACAGGACAGGATGGGGACATCCATTTTCATCAATAGCAGCGGAGTTAGGCGATCCATCCATCTTTTTTTTTAAACTTTTCCATATTACTCACGTTAATGAATAAACCATCCTACTAAGGAGAGGCAGTCAAAAAAAGAAGAACAGTAAAAAGTTCATCAGAAAGAAGAGGAAGAAGACAGGGGATAGGGAGAGTAGGTGGGAGGGTGCATATGCATGGCGGAGAAGCATAAATGGGATTAGAGAAGGGAGAGGGATAGAGAGGGGAAAGAGAGTAATGTGTTCGCGCTCTTCGATTCCGGCCCAATTGTTCAGATACCCCTTTTGACTAGGACTAGTTACATGTTGTTGCCGTCCGTTGTTGGAATTATTCGCAGAGAGGAGAGGAGGTGAGAGGAGAGGAGAGGAAAGAAGTAAATATACCACACCCCGTAGATATATGGTCCCTTATAAATACTATGAGAGGAGATGTTTGAGAGATGCCCTTACCTGTTTTATATTGTGTATTTGACATGTGCTGAGGATGTGATGATGTCCGTCCGGTTTTATTTTATTAACCTAGGGGGGTGTTCGATATATTATACCGACTTTCGTCTCTGATATATTTACTTTGTGAAAATTGTCCTTCGTACCTTGTAATATGAAATCGACATTATCATCAGAGGATATTTCGTATAGTATATCTCAACCTTGGCCTCGAAGGTAAATAGGATCCCCTGAGCGAACCTACTACTCAGTAGAACAGCTCCTGTCATTTAATCATTCAAGTCAAAAAGATAAACGTTTACTAGCATCCCGTATTCTACTAATCACCCACACACATAAGACGCAAGACTCATCAAATTTGTTCATTTGCAATTCTTTATTTCTTACGGCTAAGCTAGGAGAAAACGGGCGGGATAACGATTAAGTCCACCCCTTTGACTGCACAGGGCATTCCCCCGAGCCCAGGCGGACAACGACCGTCTCTTACGGGACAAGGCATAAACTACTTCTGCCGAGAAGAGACTTCGTAGACCAGCCCCCGAGCCCGGATATCTTTCCCTCATTAGTACGGTCAAGTTGACCCGCGTTCCTCCTGTCCCGTCTGCGGCAGAAAATCAAAATATCGCGATGGTAGTGGTGGTGTATGTGTGGTGCGAAGGCGATTTACCAGTTCACATCCTCCATGGTTTGAGATCGATAACCGAAACCTCCCTGTTGCTGCGCCTGCTCTCCCTGTTCCTGAACCTGTCCCTGAACCTGTGATGCGTCGGCAGCGTTTTGGTCCTACCATTGGCTGTCCTTGGCCTCGGCGGTGGTGGTGGCAGCGGCGGCACCCCACTCACCGGCCGGGGGAGCACCGGTGGCGTTAGCCCACTCGTCGGTCTGGCCGTCCCAGCCACCGGGTTGGGTAGCGGCGAAGCCAGCAGGGGCGGTTTCCCAGTCGGCAGTCGCGGCGCCGAAGGTACCAGTCTCGATGGCAGCGGGGCCAACCTCCTCGGCACCAGGTACCTTCTCCTCCTCTACCTTCTCCTCAGCCTCAGCCTCAGGGTCACGGTCTGTAAATATGTATGTTAGCTTGTATACTAATACTAATAGAGTGTTCGGGTTGGTATAACATACAGAAGTAAAGATCGACCATCACATCCCAGGGGATGTCACGGCTGGCGATGGTACCACGAATGCGGAGGACCTCACGGGCAAGCATCCACCAGACGCAACCAATGGCGTGGCGACCCTTGTTGTTGGTGGGAATGGCAACATCGACGTACTCGGTGGGGGAGTCAGTGTCGCAAAGGGCGATGACGGGGATGTTGACGTAGGAAGCCTCCTTGATAGCTTGGGCGTCGGTGCGAGGATCAGTGACAATGATCAGGCGGGGTTCCTTGAAAGATCGGGTGATGTAGTTGGTGAAAGAACCGGGGGTGAATCGACCGGCGATGGCAACGGCACCAGTGTGGGCGGCGAACTTGAGGACGGCACGCTGTCCGTAGGGACGGGCAGAAATGACACAAATGTCGGCGGGGTTGTCAACGGCAGCGATGATACGGGCGGCCAGGACGATCTTCTCCCTGTAATAAGAAAGAAATTCAGATCAGTAAGCTGGCCATATTTCGCAAATTGCGCAAAGCAAATTATATGTTATCGTCATACCAGGTCTTGCCAATGTTGAGGACATTGACACCGTCGGCGCGGGTCTTCCATAGGTAAGGTTCCATATGAACCTGCAAGTTCTTGGAACCGAGATGGGACTGAGCAGCTAGGAGCAGCTCGATGTCCTGGGACGTCGCATGCATGGAGGCGGGGAAGTTCGAGGGCGCCATCTTGACTTGAATTGAGCAACTCACAAAATCTGTGGAGGATTGCGGAAAAGAAGGGTAATGAGGGTGAGGAAGAAGAGTTGCTTTGCGTTGTTGCGTTGCGTTGCGCGATCGTCTTTGTCGAGGTGTAGAATTTCCCAAGCAGAAAAAGTTCGCGGTTAGATTTCAGCTGCATCGAATTGTGATTTGGTGCGAGAGCTTTAGGGCTTGGAGACGCTAGCCTCGATTGGGGTAAGCTGATTGGTTTAGCTCATGTGTTACGTATTTCATTATCGATAGGATAAGTATCAAAGTACTGACCAAACTTGAACAGCTCGGACCACTCCCAATTCGAGAGCAGTGGATGGACCTGCCTTTCTAGCGGTAAAGGTGTTTATCCATTCCGTGACATCTTCAACGTCGGAAGGTCCAAAATCCAATCCCGTCTTGCAGGTCTGAGAAATAAAGTGGATCGACCGCTAAAAGTTGAATTCATTCTCAGCAGTTCAACACTCCAATATAGAGCGACGCCATGCCGCCCCGAATACCAGGCGTGCAGCGCCTAGGCACTTTCTCCTGTGAGAATAATAAAACCTCTTCGCTTATATAACTTACTCTCGACTAACAAACAATTGCTTTGCAGTATGTCTACGACCAGCCATAAAACCGCCCACTTCGTCCCTCCTCCCCGTTACACAAACCGCCTCTCTGTCGCAAAAGGAGAAGAGGCGTCTAGCGAAACAGGATCCTTACCGATGGGCTCAGATGCAGCAGCGCAAAGCTGCCCACCTGAAGAGACGAGAGGAGATCGAAGCTATTAGAGAAGCGCAGCATGGCGATTCTATCCGTGGTCTCACGACCCCCTTCGTCGAGTCCTTCGACTCCGCCGGCCAAGCCCTACTGTCTAAGCCGCCGGTCGACGACGACGGGAACCCGCTGGAGGAACCGCATGAGCTCCCCACCTCGCCCCATGTCCTAAACAACCTCATCCACAAGGAGGAGCTGGATGCCGCGATCGATATGGCCTATACTCTAACGCGGCCGATCCCGACGGATCTCTCTCCTGTTGGATCGGAAGAGTACCAGAATCAGGTCGAACGCCATGAGAAAAACCACGCAAGGGCGGTCGAGGCCTTGAACCGTATTACGCACATGGATAACGGCTCCGCGAAGGATAGATTACATGCCAATATCCGGCGGTGCGTGGAGACTTTTGGGAGGCACGAAACCGATGGTTTTCTAAAGCCTAAAGCTCTTTCACGAGGACAGGAGAGGGAAGAGCTACCAGTGCGAGGCGGTCCGGACACCGGAAGTAGCGAGGTGCAGATCGCCATCCTGACGGCTAAGATCCGGGCTTTGGCCAACGAGTTAGAGAAGGGGCGAGGTTACAAGGATAAAGTAGGTAAGCGAGATCTAAGGTTGATGCTCCATCGACGACAGAAGTTACTGCGGTATATGGAGAGAAAGGAAAGGGGAAGTGATAGGTGGAATCATATGATCAAGACCCTTGGTCTGAGTCCGGCGACCTGGAAGGAGCAAATCACGACGTAAGACTCCTGGACGTGCGTGCTATTTGGAGTGTACCATATAGGTGGCCTAGATGCATACTCTGTAATAACATGTGCTTATGTACAATACAACAAACACCAGCAGCAATTCGAGACGCGCGAGAGCTCTAACTGTCTGTCCATCAGCCTAGCGCCATTGAGAAAAAAGAAAAGAAAAAGAAAAGAAAAATCCCATGACAATCACAGCTTTGAATGCTATTTCCTTGGTATCCCGTCCATTAGTTCTACAGTTTCGAAGAGAGCGAGGGGTGGCCGTAAAAGCCCATGCGAGAAATCAGAATACGCTGATATAGTTGCCGATCCTCTCCTTCTGGTTCTGTGCTATGCACTCGGCGATCCACGTGATGTTGCGGATTTCCTATATCGTAAGTTAGAGGCCAAAACGGGATAACGAGCTTTAGGGGTCATCTTCTGCCAACTTACCTGCTCTCTAAGTTTCACCCACGCATACACGATGGCATATGTGAATTGCCTCGTGAAGGCACTCTTGGAAATCTCCATCTCCTTCTGGTAGAACATGTCTTCCAAGCTTCTCTCGTTGCCGCCGGCCCCACCGGCCATATTGCCTGGTCCTGATGGTCCACCACCTAATCCTGCAGCCTCGAGGAAAGTCTTGTAATCAGCAACACCGTCGACTGCCAATCTTACACCCTCAAAATCATCCGACCTCGACAGCATCAGCGTGCCCTCGGGATAGAGTCGGCCAAAGCTCGGGTACAACTTATTACGGTCCGCCTTGCTCAGCTCGGTGCCGAAGGAGTTAAGGGTGATGTTGATGGCTCGCCTGTCGGCCTCGAACTCCAGGATCTCGTTCATAACTTCGGATGTAGGGGTGCCGGCCATGTCTGGGTGAGTGTTGACGAAGTTGTAGAAGTCCTCGAGGTAGTTCTTGTACAGCGTGTTCCGTACGATTTCGATGTTCAACTCGTCCAGGTCTTGGTGGCTCAAGCTACCCTTGAAGTAGGGTGCTAAGGGCGTCTCTATCAGCACGCTGTTGTATAGTTCTTCGATGTTGGTTGCCACGCAGAGAACGGGCATCGTCTCGAACCAGCCGAGAGGATGACATCGGTCTAGCAGCTCGCGGGTATCTCGTTCGTGCAGGGTACCGGTGATGAGAAGAGCTACATTGTCGATCATGTAGCCATATGTTAGGTAGTCTAGGAACTGCGCGAGAGATCCGACAGCGTTTGCGCGGACGTAGCGGAATTCGGAGACGAGCTTGTCGGTTGTTTTGGCGGCGAGACTAGAGGTGGACGGATTGGGAGGGAGAGATGCGAGGAAATCGCCGTAAGCAGGACCAAGTTGCAGCTTGAGATCTAACGGGAAGTATTAGATGCATTGCTATTTTATTTATACGTAGATATAGGGCGCATACCATCGATGGTCTCGCATTGCGTCAGGTTAGAATAGTTAGCACCAGTTAGAAGGCCGTTCCTGTACCCCCGTACAATGCCTTCGATGTAACTATACCAATCACATTAGCTCTTAGCAATGTATCAGGAAGCTTCTCGTAATAATCTAGACTCACCCATTGTTAACGTTGAAAAAGAGGCCCTCCATGTTGGCGAATATGCTGTTGTTGATCGATGGAAGGATATTCCTTAAGAAAGTTGATGTTTCTGGAGCTTGGTTCTTTACGTTGTTGCATGCGCTGCAACATTGAACCTAGGATGCTTAAGGATGCTTAATACGGTATAAGGTGATATATTTACTAAGATAATGATAAGACAGTTTCCATTATTGAAATGAAAAGTATCATGCAATTAACAAACAAGAGGTGCAGGGGCCTAAGCTCAAGTTGCGTTTTGACTGGCTCCCACATTCCGTGCCCACTTTTATGCTGTAGCTTTCCCAATTTTTTTCTCGACGAAAGTTCGAACAAATTTTTGCACAAGCAATAGCTCAAGATTTCTCCCAATCATAAAAACCAACCATTGTCGTCGCGAAGAGAGCTCTGCAGGACCACACATATATCGTTATAATCATCCTGCAATCATGCCTCTCTTCGTTCTCGCAGAGACGCCTGCGGGGTAAGTTTCCGCATTTTCAATCCTGGTGCGCATGAATATACTGACGCGATAATAGCTACGGTCTGTTCAAGGCCAAGGACAAGAAGTTACTGTCACGAGACGATGTCCAGAAGCAGCTTTCCAGCGCTGAAGCCATCAACTCGATGTAAGTTTGCCATCTTAAAGTTGCTATCAATTGGCCAAGAGCGCGTACTCACCAGCTTCACCTAGGCTATCGCTCAAGAAGATGGTCAAGTTCGAGGACTCGGCTCAAGCCTTAGGTGAATACACTGCCCTCACCGAAGGCAAAGTCACCCCGATGTTACAAAACCTACTCGACGATATTAAGGAGGAACGAAAGGCGTCGCTTGCTGTTGCTGATCCAAAGCTGGGTGCCGCAATTAACATTCTGCCCCAGTTGAACATCACTCCAGTATCTGATTCATCTACCAATGATCTCTTCCGCGCCATCAAGACCTATCTTCCTGAACTTTTCCCCGAGCTAGAGAGCGACTACTTAGGAAACATGGCACTTGCCCTGTCGCACTCTATTTCTCGCCACAAGCTCAAGTTCTCCCCCGATAAGGTAGACGTTATGATTGTTCAGGCCATCAAGCTTCTCGATGATTTAGATAAGGAGCTGAACAACTATGCCATGCGAGTCAAGGAGTGGTATGGATGGCATTTCCCCGAGTTGGACCGTATTGTGCAAGATAACCTTGCCTACGCTCGCATTATCTTGGCTATGGGAACGCGAGAAAACGCTCCCAACACCGACTTTTCCGAAATCCTGCCCGAGGATATCGAAACTCGCGTCAAGGCAGCTGCAGAAGTCAGTATGGGTACTGAAATTCTCGAATTTGACTTGGAGAACATCAAGCTCCTTGCCGAGCAGGTGATCAGCTTCACCGAGTACCGACAGCAACTCTCCTTGTACCTCACATCGCGTATGAAGGCAATTGCTCCCAACTTGACAGAACTCATTGGTGAGCTAGTTGGTGCTCGTCTTATCGCGCACACCGGTTCGCTTCTGAAGCTGGCAAAGAGCCCCGGTAGTACCATCCAGATTCTAGGTGCGGAGAAGGCTCTTTTCCGTGCTCTAAAGACTAAGCATGATACCCCCAAATACGGTCTCATCTACCACTCATCTCTTGTGGGACAGGCTAGTGGAAAAAACAAGGGCAAGATCGCGCGTACACTGTCCGCTAAGGCTGCTTTGTGCCTGCGTGTCGATGCTCTTTCCGAGCTGAGCACCGAGGGTGCTGATGGCGAGGATATCCTGGTAGACGACGAGGAGAGAGCCGACATGGGTATTCGACTCCGCGCGTTACTGGAAGATAAACTACGGAAGCTAGAAGGCAAGCCGTTGGTATCTAAGGGTACCAAGATTGCCCCCAATGGCGCCACGCCATCCAAATTTGAGGTTAAATCAACACGAGGCTATAATGCCGATGCCGATGCTGTTGCTACCTCGGCTAAGAAGACACCTAGCAAGCCTTTAATCCAAGAAGTTGAGGATACCCCAATGGGAGACGCAGAGAGCGAGGATGAATCTGAAGAGGAGGATTCTGATGTGGACATGAAAGGCACCGAAAGTGGTAAGTGTTTTTTTGATAATCCCTTTGCATTACAAGCGGCGTCGACGTATATTAGCATTAACTAACAAACAAGCAGCCAAGTCAAAACAGAAGACGCCAAAGAAAGAAAAGCACTCGGCAAAGAAAGAGAAGAGCAAGAAGGCTACAAATGGAGCTGAGGCTACTCCTACACAACCCGCTAAGCTGTCTGAGGCCGACTATGCCCGACTAGCAGAGGAAGCCGGCATCTCGGTCTCCAAGTTCAAGCGCAAGTACGAGCGTGGTGATGTGAAGACAAATGCCGATGGAACACCCCAAGTTGTCAGCAAGAAAGAGCTGAAGAAGTTAAAGAAGGCCGAAGCCAAGGCCGCCGATGCCACGCCTTCTAAAGTCGAGGCCGAAGCTGACTCCAAGAAAAAGCGAAAGCACTCGGAGGATAGCCCAGAGAAGAAGAGTAAGAAGAAGTCGAAGAAGGAGAAGTCCTCGTAGATTTTATTCATACCTCTCTTCGTCTGTACTATATCAGTAAAAGCGCAGTACTTGCAATCATGGACGACGGCGTTCCGGTGGTCATACCAGGGGTTAGTGTTGGAGTTGGTTGGCTTCTTTAGATAGCTAATTAGATCGAAGCTATCAACAGAGTTTTGTTATTCTCAGTTTAACTAATTTCTAGGCATTCTGTAGTCAGTGTTTTTTCCAATACGTTAACATGTACTTTGGATTGGGGAACGATCGGAAGAGCATATTCCAAAGATGAAGACTTGGGAATATCCAAGAGCCCTATTGACACATCTAGTCTATGTATACTGAGCCAATGCTGACCAATCAATGCTTGCCGTTTTCGAATATACTACTAGATAGTTCCAAGGTAACGGGGCTAGTTCCATGCCGGTATCCTATAACAGAGGTTTATCCACCGCCCCATCCCCGACGGTTTAACAAGTTGAAATAACAACACCCTAGGTTAAACTTTACCTATGTAGCGCCACCGGTCGCCCATTCAAGCTATGACTTGTTTAAATCAAGGGGAGGCGAAGAGAAAATATGGGCTATGTGTCAAAATAGGTGTGAGTAGCTGACGGTCGGGATTTTCGTCTGATCTCGCATTAACCAAGATCTTCTTGTCATTTCTCGATAAGCTACTGATGGCTACTGGGTCTTGTAGCCATTTCCAGAATATCGACATTTGCTCAGAGTTTCCAAACCACATCACCGTTCCACAACTACCCCAACGCCTTTCAACTATCTCTACATCGTCGAACAGGTCATAAATACCCTTTCCAATCTCTCTCTTGTCATTCGGTCCAATGACGTCTAAGCCGGTGGCTTCGTGCAAGACTTTGAGATGGTCTGGAAGATGGCATAGCAAATAGCGGCCAATAGGTTGGGTCCTTGGGTCTACTGGCTCACGAAGGAATTCGAACGTCAGTTTCACAATATCGAGGTGGGAGTCAACCTCGTTGACTTGTATATGACCTTTCGGGGAATTCGAGTTGCCTAAGCCCTGTTGAAACGAGAATTTCTCTAGAGTTGAATAAGTATTGAGATCCCATAGAAACCGCTGAACGGTTGTGCGGTTTACATTGGTGATGGTGATAGTGGCGCTGATTCTTGGTGGATTGTCTGTCATCCGAGGGGTTTCTCGTTGCTTCACCACGCAATCGGCAATCTCATCATCTTGCAACCTAACTCGGTTATCTGATCCTCTTTTGAGTATCTTCGAGAAATTCTTGTCGATATACCTATCAAGTCGTTCGATAATGTCTCTCTTAAATCGAAGGAACTAAAGAGATTGAAATTATTATAAAATAAGATGGCTAGACCTATAGAAGGTCTTTCCAGCTCTCAGCTCTCTACTATATGAAGAGCTTGGGAACTCACCAACGCAGCTTCTAACTCCTCAATCGTGAGAACCCGTTTCCCGAAGATAGCCCACGCGATGAGTTCATTTATTTCATCTACCTGTCGACCTTTCAACTGAGTCTCCTACTTGTTAATGTCCCCCTTCAGTCTTGAATTCAAGCGCGACGGTATTCTGTGTATTTTGCTGCCGCTGTACGAGGCCTTCAAAGCGCTTGAGACCATCGGCAACCTCTTTATTGTCGAAAAGGACTCGTTTCGTCTTTTCTTTCAGTTTCTTCCATCTGCCGCCATATTGAACATTTATGCACAGAGCGCAAATGTCTACAAAGCAAATCATAACTTCATGAACAGATTGGAGTAAGCCTTCATCAATCATGTCGAATTTTTCGATTCTCGCATAGATCCTGAATCGCAAGAGGGTCGGGCCTATCTGTGCAAGTACGTCCTTGATTTCTCCGTGCATGTCACTAATTTCTTTCGGGATATCTAGCAAGAGAGAGATGGCTTTGAAACAGAGCTCTGCGGGTGGGAATACCTAGAATAATCTTCAGCATCCGTAACGGTATTATAGCAAGGATATAATCTAACAATCGAGGCCCCTAGCGCAGCAACTCCTCCTAACAACTTCACGCATAATATTATATCCATGCCTATTTTCTTCACTTGAGAAGTTCTATATGTTTCTTGCTCATCATTTTTTGAATAATTCATCGAACTCCTCTTGGAGGCTGTCTAGAGACTTAGGAATGCTTGCTAGGAGTTTCTTTACCTGTAAGCTCCTGAAAGCGTTTCATTTCATCCTCCCACATCCCCTGAAAATCAAGTTGCCCGTTAGACATCTTGTAGATCAAATGTGCTGTCTCTTTGAAGGTATAAGTGAGTTGTGGAAGATTAGTAGTCGAAGGTAGCGATGGTAGGAGAGGGGGCAACATTGAATCAAATACTTATTCACTATACTTCAAATATCTGTTCTGGGAACTACTGTAACATGATGTGGTATTGCTTGGGGGCTGTTCAGCCGCATTGATCCATGCATGAAGCCCATATTACAACCTAGCTAATAGACGCATGAATATACTACTAGTTCAATATCCGGCAAAAGAGTGCTGTCTGGGATAATATTCCACTTCGGTGTGATTAGAACTGGTGACGATGTCGTAATACCTAGTGATTATATTTGAAAACAGCGCTGTTGAACTAGTATAGAGTCTGATCAACTCTTATATATTTCATTAGTACTGCCACAATTTTTTCGACCAATCAAATACTTAGAATCGCCCCGCAGTTTGCAACTTTTTCCTTTACTATTCTATCGCACAAAGTCTGCAAAAGGTGCAAATGGCATAGAAATGTCATGCAAAACGCGCTCTATCCAACGATACTAATTATTAAAAATTTTATCCACAAATGAAGCAATTTAATTGATTCTACAAAAAATTCATCGGACGTGCGCTGACGTGTGGCTAGCCAATCAGAGGCCAGAGCTATTTGTGGCGTAAAAGGCACTCTTGAAGCTAGGCACTCCCCGTAAGCGCTTGCGTGAACGGGTAACGCAGCTAGTTAAGATATTCAAATCAATATACATCAAACATCTAAGATGTATCTAGAAAATTCCTCCCTTAGAACTCACAAACGTCCACTATGCGCCGGCAAGAACCAATACGCAGGACATTGAGATGATCTGCTTGAAGAAGTATCATCCATAAAATTAAAAATGCTCTCCAAACATTCATTCAGCATAGTAACCGTTTCATGGAGGTCCATAACACTCAAACGCTCTAGCTCTGGAGATTTATCTGCTTCATTTACCCAACTCGCCATATGTTTCGTGGTTTCTGCTAGCGATCGATCTACCAGAGCCGGGTCCACGGCCGGTGCCGAAATTGCCAGGAATTCTTTGAGCCCGACAACGTCGATTTCAGATGAGGTTACCCTGGCTCCATAAGGGGTGAACCTTTTATAGGAGTCGCCATTCATGCGTACAAGGGCATATTTCACCGCCTGTACTTCACTTTTCCCTTCTATCGACAAAAGCAAGACCCAAGCTCCTTGTGAAATACCCTGCAAGCTATTCCATTCTAGTAGGGGGCGAATCTCAATGCGAGACAGGTCTGTTAGAGACGGCGGTCCTGCGGAAAAGGCGGCCAGGCGGCCAGGTGGTTGCCAAATATACCGTAAAAACTTAGCTGCAAATGCCTCCGGCCTGAGTAGCCCGTGTGCTAAGTAGTATGAGGTGTACCAATCGATATTATGGATTCGGCTTGGTTCAAATAGTCGGCAGCGACGGATGAACATGTGTTGAACAGGGACCGCTCCAGAGGGCGGGTGATATGCCGAGGGTGGGTAAAGGGATCTGACCCAGGGCATCTCTCTCAACGACAAAGAGAATGCTCCATTAAAAGTGACTTCCACGCTCTGCAACAGGTCCGATCTATTTGTGACAAACTTATAAAGCTCCCCGCTCAACGTACAGTTAATTCGCCCTGGCTTCTGGAAACAGTACAGGTGTCGTAAGGAAGGTAGCTTGGATACTGCATTTATGATTGATTTTGCGTCCACACTTGCTATTCCTGAGCCTCGAATATTGTCGACACAAAGAATGAGGGATCTCGTATTACTCATATCTTCCGTCCCGAATGCAAACTCGAGAGCCTTTACGAATATGCCTCTGAACCGGACTAGGCCAACATGGGTCTCCCCGGCAAATGCAAGGCCTATTAATTGTCCAGCCGAGCCCGTTGGACCAAACGATCCTGATGAATATAAGTGTTGTTGTAATAGAGCCTTCAAATTAGGTAGGCGTCGAGGGAGATCCAAAATATATTCAGGATAGACATCTACATCTACTGTTTTTTTTCATTAAGGCTGTGGCGTACCGATTTAAAGCAGACTCATCAGGCCTGCTAATGTGTGTAGTAGGTGGCGCGTTATTAGATATCTGGATGACTTTAAGTTCCGCTCATATTAGTTGGCAATCTTCAATGTGATAGGACGTTAGTAGAAACTTACAATTTACAACTGATGGATCTATTGGCTCCAAATACTCCAACATCCGTATATCTCCAATAGTATCGACGTAGCCGAATTCTGTCACGAAATCGGCGGCGGAAAAGAGGTGGTATCGTTGCGTTATGATAACGTCGGGCAACATTATACCGCCGCGCAAGTCGTTTAAATTAGTGATGTCAAAGACAACCATGTTGCCTGGGATCCAATATGGGTTGTAAATTGAATCAATAAGCGGCAGTGGCCTAGTGTTTTGCGTATAGAGATCACTTGAACGATGGTAACAGACACCTTGCAATAAACATTCTCCTATGAAAGGGAATTGGTCTCCAACAACAGGCCTACTCGATAGGTTAGTTGATCCTTTAGATAGGAATATTGACAACCACGATATAAAGCCAGCGCGATAAAAGTCTATAGCCATAGCCCGCTCGGCTTCAATACTGACACGATTCGCTGGTTCAGACAAGATGGTTTTTATCCACAAGAATGTAGTTGATCCTTCAGTAGACGCTTTAGAAGGTCGCTGTCGGCGGACGCCGGCGAGAGGACGGTAAACTCCATCAATCTTAGTGACGATCCAGAAATCCAGGGGCTTGGCCTTCTTAGATGACAGAACGGCGTACGCCATAGTAAGTAATCGACTGTAGAAAGAGTATGATGTGTAGTGTTCCTAGGGCAATATTACTGGATGAGTGTTCTCCTAGAATGAAAGTAGAAGGGTTATGAATAGTTTTTTTTTATTGCTGGAATCAAGTATTAGTTGGTTGGGATAACATGGCAAAGCTACTTACCTATATATGCCTTGAAGCTTGGACATAATACTATGTAAAGGCTTTTTGATTGCCATCTTAGTTACTAAACCCGACCGAGTTTTAAACTAAATATATTCATATATTAGGTAGGAAAGAGGCTATCAACATACTGAGTTTCTATTTAGTTGTCTCTGCAGTTCTATCGCTCGACCGTTCCGCACACTTCCAGTATAAAATCTAACGTTGCTGAAAATTTACCTATTGAGACTGAACTTACGCTCTCGTTTAGATTTATGCGATTTGATGAAAATTCCCTGAGGTTATCTTTATAAAGGTTACGCACTGGGACCTTTCCAACTTATATAATACTCAACAGCACGTCCCTTGCCTCTGATGGTCATAGTTTAGGTAGGATATCTCACGAATCTCGCTCATCTTCGTTTTCCATCTTTGTGGCAACCTACCAATACTATTAATCGACCTGCGTAGTGAGCGCTGATTGGTTAAGGTCACTTTATACTATTTCAAGTTCTCGAATTTACAAAATTTCACATCTCTAGTAATTTAAGACCGTCATTTACGCAGTTCCTTCTCACCGATACTAACCTTTTACATTACTCTAGTTAGGTACTATGAGTCTGTCAGGATTTATACCCGTTGATTGATGTTATACACAGAGTGAGTGTCTAGGGTAGGTAGACCAAGTAATAGATAGTATTGATCTTGTAACGCCTGGCCTTCTATCCTCTTACGAGGGCGCTGCGCGCCTCTTATATAGTAGATAGACCCCAGTTAGCTACCCCTACCCACTTATACCCTGACAGAGTCCCATTACCCAACAAGAGCCTGTGACTCAGGGTAAAGTCATAGGTATTTATGAATTCTCTTCAATTAGAAGTTTTAGCAACCTTAAACACACATATCGGAACTGGGAAACGCTCTTATAAGTTAAATCTGGGACCAACTCCGTAGAACAAGAAACCTCGTGTGCATTGACCCTATCATTGACCCTATCGGCTTGAACTTACCCGTGCCATACAAACAGAGTTCAAGTCTAAAGTGAGGTTCGTATACGGTTGAACCTCAGCACACGAGAGCCTCGCTTCAACATGTGATAGCCTTGCTCAATGGTACATAGCCTTGCGATGACCTCTATCTTGCTTCCATTTCGAGCGAAGCGAACAGCCTCCCCGACAGAGGCCGGAGGCATGAGAAAAATATTACTTAAATATTGATGTGCTATAGGTACTCAAAATCTAAGCATAAGCTACTTTCAACACATTGTGATGCATATAGTAACTGCTGGTTGGTTGGATAGTTGGGGATTCCTCAAGAATCGCAATTATTACTACAGCTGGTGTTGTTAAAATAGCACAGCCACAAACAAGAGAAATAAACCGCCACTGTCATAAGCAGCGCCACATGGCTTGTGAAAAAGTGAAAAAGACTTTGCGCAATAAGTTATGCAATATTAAGTTAAAGTTGTACCTAGATTTTAGGAACACTTTAACTAAGGAGTAAAGAAACATTGATGTTGCCTACCTGATATGATTGAAAACCCAATGTTGGCCATTTACTAAGTTAATTGTCTCGCTCGGGCATTGTCCTTGGACCGTTGCAATGTAAGGCTATGCTGGTTACTTTGCATAAGAACATAGGCCACGGCTTGATTCCCGTGTTTGTCTAAGAGAGACAGCTGCGGTAACATGACTCGTCACCATCTACCCATTACGATCTACCTACATACCCATTACGAGAAGAGATGCCTCAGATGCCTCAGATGCCTCAGCTACTCGGCTAGTTTTTGGCATGGACGGATATCTCTTTTATCCATTTATATCCAGTATCCGTACACTCGCCACCTACATATGATCGATGAGGTTGTTATTATGACCCTTACCAAAAGGGGTTTCACTAAAATTAGGTGTAGTTAGATCAGGGCCCCTCCAATTCTCGGGGTTGCTAGCTGATTCGAGAAAACATGACCGCAGTCCCATTCAACCTTATAGCAAAATATGTATCAGGTAGAAGCTGGAAAAGTCGAGATCAAAGCCGAACTGAAACTCCAGTGGGGAGATGCGCAATCGGATCAAAATGAAATCGCCTCATCATGGCAGCTGGAATAGCTATTTTTATACCGTTTGCCATTACTGTACATAGTACGTGTGCGTACTCGGCCGCAAGATACCTCATAACGTCGGAACGATTTCGACTCTTAGATATAAATATATATGCCATTTTATGGCATGCGCAAATAAGGCTGCTTGGCTGCTTAGCTGCCTGTGAAAGCTTGTTAATATTAGGTTATTGCACCATAACTAAACTTCGGATGTTATATGTTATATGAATGAATTTTGCTGCGCCCGTGCGAATAAATCGACAATGCGAGAGAAGAAAAGAGTTCCCTGTCCAGCTGAGAATCGAAGCTCGATGGTATCTAAGCCTCATGCACTAGGCCGTATTTGGCATGGCCCGAGAACATTACCACGGGACTTGGATGATAAACTACCGATTATGTACTGGATCTAAACGGATGACAGGTGGGGTAATGCATAGGAAACCCTAGTCTCAAACAGTCGGCGCCACTATAGCGCCGACATTCCGCGGTTGAAACCGTCGGGTGCGCTCAACAGATATAGAATATGCATGTGCGGAAGATGCCGGAGGGCCGGGGGGCAGGGGGGACACATGGACCTCTTAAACAACACCACTTAGCAAAAGTGCACTGCGGCATTATCAGATTGCTAAACCCAGAATGCGTATTGAGCTCGCATGCTTACCTCGTGGGTATTGTGTGTTATCCCGCTCGAGTAATGCTAATTGAGTAATAGTGTAAGCAATGGGGTTAGGGAAATATTGAGGCCGAGATTCAGACGAGAAGACGAGAAGACGAAGTAGGATGGATTCTTTAGAGCAATCCGCCATCTCAACGGTGATCGAATTGAAAACTACTAAATCACCTTAAGCCGGTTTGCCAAGTGGACCGCCATAATCAATAGGACAACGACAGTGGCTGTGCTTGCTGGGATTAGGTAGTCAAGCCCAATTTCCTCCTTTTACACACATGTACATACATACATGAGCTTAAAAGGGCTTAATGCTTAAGGCTTAAGCCCCGAGCGAGTCGCTTGTCAAGGATGGACTTCTGATACGCGTATTCGACATTCTCGTAGGGGGTTAACACACATTCGTTACCAAACAATTATTACATACTAGTTACATAGCAAAGAACAATCTAGTTTGCATTGGTAGACGCTGACAGTAGAAAGTTGGGACAAGTTTGAACAGCTTTTGCCGTGGTCCCGTAGAGCCGACGGGGTACCGATTTAGCAAATCGTTCTTATTCTCCCGGACTCTTCCATGTACCTCCCTACCTTCTGCCTTCTTCATCGCTCATCGGTCGAACAAGTGCACCCGTCAAGGTCCCAGGACTACCTACCTAAATGTACTCTGTACCTTATACTTCCCCATCCGATCCCCGAATGTGAAGTTTCTGCAGTCATGGACATGAAACCTTAGGTACTTGAGACATATTACAAGAGGGACACTTCTCGGCTGGATCTTCCAAACAAACCATACAGATCCGATGCGTTTATGCTATTGTACACCATGATGACTGTCCTGGGTCGAGTATTTGGCAAGTCAACATCTGGCGAAGGATTCATAACATCTTGACCCTTTTCGTCTGTTTGTCGTGTTCGACATCGTCATCACCAAATGCGAGCCAAGAGCCGCCTGTAAATCTATGCGCCCATAAGCAGAGGGTATTGGATCTAAGGCTTTGAGTGGAATTGGCGTCGTCATCTCCCTTATGCTCCTTATGCTGTAACCTAGAGGGCTGCAGAAGGGTCTCTTGCAGGACGTGATATGTTTTTACTGGTATGTTTTTACTGGCAACTATCACGGGCGGTTGATATGTAAGTGGTTACTAGTTGGTTACTAGTTAGGTTAACTAGTTCCCAAGTTAAGACCTGTTAAGACCTGTTAAGACCTAACCTACACTCAGATGCTTTAGTACCTAAGTAGCGTACATGCCTCTCTAATGTATGTATATGTTCCTCCGTGCCGGTGCACTTCCGTGCAACAGGCCTTAGATTCTGGGCCTGTGATTCGTTCGGGGCAGTTAGTTTCTCGGTCTTGGGAAGTTGGGGTCCATTGGCTGATATAGGATATGGGGACAGACCTCTCGCACTGGCTTACGCGTCCCTTCTCCTCTTTTAATCGGACAGTCCCTGTGGGCCTGTCAACCTTCCCTACGGGGCCAAGTACTAACTTGGTACTTGCCAAGCCACACACAAGGAAGTTCAGGGATGTGCCCCCAAGAAACTGTCCAAGAACTGACCACCCAGCTGTCACCCCCCGAATTATCTTTTAGACAGCAATGTCCCAGACACCCATATTATCCAAATTTCCCTTCAAATCCGCGTTCCCTACCAAATCTTGCTTGCCATTTCTTTCCACACTTCTTCGCCCACCATAAATGTCTTTCCTCTCTATACCATATACCAATACTCAATACTCAATACTCGACACTTAATACCCAATACTTGTTCGCGAATCGAAGCTCTTATCTCCCATCGAATACACTCCTGTATATAGATTTAATTAGCATTTGTCATTTGTCTTCGAAGATAGTCGTTCGGACCGAACTGAGTAGACTCACCTTCCAGCGCGGTTATGTCAGCTTCAAGCCAGCCTTCGTCGAGCCCCACGGGCATGGTCGACCCTCTCGATCTCTTCGACTTTCAAGAGTACGACCAAAACTCATACCGGTCAACTTCAGCCTTAGCTTCTCCAGGCACCACCAAACCCCAGTTCTCCATAGCTTCAGCGGCAGTAACAACACCAAGTACCTTGCCAACCACGCAGGCATTATCGGGTCCTAGTCATCAGTACGATCAGTATAAGCAACAGACACCTTTCGTCCCAGGAGCCCTCACCAGTACGATTGCTATCAACAATAGTAGCCAACTTTCCGGCTATGCTATAGACTATATGCCTTCGGAGATTGGCTCGAACGAAGACACATTTGACTTTAACACTGTGCCATCGCGGAATATGAGTGCTGCTGATATGGACCTCGACTTCGAATCTCAGGCCGATGCTTCGTTTTTTTTCTCCGAGGCGACGATTGACCCAAACGCAATTGGAGGAGAGTCTCAAGCAATGACGTCGCCAACTGTTCCAAGTCAGACGAGCAATGTCGGGAGGATGTATCCTGGTATGCATCAGCAAGCCGCATTAGCAAAGGCGCAGGCACAGCAGAGGCAACAGCAGCATCTTATCCAACAGAGACAGAATCAAGCGAAGCAACATACTCACAGGTCAAAGGTTCCTATGCCTTCGGATCCGATTGTAGAGCAAAAGATTACTCAGCTTCTTAATTCTATGAGGTCGAAAGCTGGTGCTAGTCCTGGCGATTCGGGCGAAAACTCGCCTCTTCTCCAGTTGCCGAGGCCTAAAAAAGAAGAAGATGATATGGATGAAGACGAAAGATTGCTTGCGAGTGAGGAAGGAAAGAAACTTAGCAGCAAGGAAAGGCGCCAATTACGCAACAAAGTTTCCGCTCGGGCTTTTCGCTCAAGAAGAAAAGGTAATATTTGTAATCCGTCCGAGCGTACTAATTTGCTAATAGTGTAACAGAATATATTACTCAACTCGAGGCTGAGATTGCTAACAAGGTAAATGAGAACGGTGACCTACGTGCTCAGAACCGCGTTTTGATCGAAGAGAATAAGCGTCTCGGCGAGCTCAGCCGGATGTTACTTGGATCGCCATCGTTTTCTAATTTCCTAGACAATCTGAGTTCCAATCCCTGCGCACTCTCTCAACAGCAACAGCAGCAGCAACAACAACAACAACAACAACAGCAGCAGCAGCAGGAGCAGCCACAACACGAGCAGCGACAACTTGAGGCTCAAGTCCCCAAAGATGTTAATCCCTTCATTGCGGGTCAACAAAATCATCAGCATCAACAAATAGGGATGGTTATGATGCCCGAACAAGCAATGGACTTTGCTATGCTAAACATAAACTCCGACTACAGTTACCAACCTAGGGTTTTTGCTATCTTGGAGACACCGGAGATGCCCGTTATTGACACGGAAGCGTTGGCGGGCAAGGGGTCGAGTTTTGTAGAATCTTTTTCAGCAGATGCCGAAAAGAACAAAGCTCCCGTCCTAGAGTCGCCCATTGAAGTTCCGGAGCCGGTGGAGACTCCTGCTGAGTCGGGAGTATCTGAGTACTCGGTCGCAGACCTTGATGGAGACATCTATGATGATGAAACGACTATTACAACGTCGAAACCAGTGGAATTGAATACGGATAGTCTCACTGCCGTAGACATCTTCGGTGGTATCGAACCTGAGAAGGCATTTGCCAGGTATGAGCTTGTTGACTTTTTAGAGGAAGACACTGTTGCCATTATGGCCGCACGACGGGTGGAGCGTCTCGCGGCCAGCCTCGAACCTGTCTTGGCCAGGTTAAATATGCTTAGCATCGGGTTATAAGTTATACCAATATCGTGTTATATTTCATTCAACTCATTCACAGTATATCAAGCTCGGTTTGTACGGCGTTCGGGAAGGATTACATATTAGGCGAAAAGGAACGGTTCGAGTGGACTTTATCACTATTATCACTGCATACAATCAAGTTTTACTTCATTATCTAGGGTTAGCTTTGAGAAAAACTGGTTATTGATGAAGCGCTTCGGAAGAGCGTTGTTTATGAGAAACAGGAACGGGAGGGCATTGCGATGTTGCACGCATTGGATCGCTTGGTGTTGGCTATAATAGAGAAACAGGTAGCTAGTGTTTTTCGTGATGCGAAAAACAACAATAAAAAAAATAAAATCAACATGATCAACATCTACGTTTAGTATCGTATGTGATCCAGTCGTTTTAACATGTATAATAGCCTCAAGGATGTTTGGATTCTCGGGACCGTATCGGTTTTATAAGTCGGCAATTACATGCACCACATCGCGATACCTTTTGGGTCAGGTATGTTGATTTCCAATCGCTTGAGGGGAAATCGTATCTCGGAAATATTATATTTCTAACCAGATTCTATTTTAGCATTGTCATTGTCATTGTCATCGTATCACAAGTTTCATCACCATCCATAAGTACCTCACATGCGGGTTTCGGTCCCGCGTGTTTAAAAGTTGATATCATAAGATTATCTACCTTTTAACCCAGCATGCTTATATGTAAGGTCATCATACATAGGTAGGTACCTAGGTAGGTATACACCTATACATCACCTTTTTATTTTATATATCTCATCTTTTAAAAAAGGAAACGAAATGAAACAAAACAAAACAGCGGCGGCGGCGAGATAAGGTGTGCACGGCAGACGGGCTACCGATTGGCTCGCACGAACGCTGAGTAAAACGTCTATTATATCCGAGGGCTGCTTACAAAGAATAGTAAGTTGGTAGTAAGTAAGTAAGTAATAGAATCCTCCAGCGCCTCCTCCCAAGCCAAGCCAACCAAGATCTGGCCTGTTTTATCACCAACTTGCAGTTGGGGTTACACTACTTTACATGTCGAGGAGTAGCATTCGCTGGTCACGTAGCACATGGGAGTTCCTCGCGCAGCTGGTAAGGCTCGGGTTTGGGGTGGAGGGTTTTTTCATTCTTTTTTTCAATGCCGGTGCATTTTGCGGTGAGCTGCTGCATCATCAATCATAGGTAGGTAGCGTTTGTAGGTAGGTAGGGTTATAAATGCCTTGTTCCCGGTATGATAACGGGAATTGCGCACGCAGGCTGGTAGATGCATATGACGGCGACGGCGGCGACGGCGTATTCTATAGCCCGGTGTGAGACATCGTGTTTGTTCTAGATTACGAGTCAGGAATTCTTTTTTTGGGGGGGTTTTCTGATTTGCCGAATAATTGTCGGGAAGCCAATCTAGAACAGACAATATCAGACATACATATACACTTAGGCTTCCTTCTTGTGCTACTATGGTAGGCTCATTTCATCATTCATGTCGAGGCTTGCTGAGCTGTAAGCCAGCTTATGTGGTAATTATTTCTTCCTTTTCTTTTCAATAGGGGTTATGAATCAATGTCTCGAAAACATAATCGTCCCACGTTGCCATTTCGGAGGATTTTAGAAAAATTTCTGAAGTGTGCTGGCTCGTTTTTAAACCTAAACTAGATCAACTTGTCAACTTGCGTGAGATGTGGTACCAATAAAGAAGGATGCCCGGCATAGCCCGGTCCCGATTATGTAGTTTAGATGCTATGTAGATACCTAGCAGACAGACGATTGATCCGTTCGCTCTAACGATTATAGATCTAGGACGTTTGATCTGCTTGCTTATGGATTGGATGAATGGATCGATTTCTTCAGCCCTCACCCCCCGCCACTTCCGACCTCTCGGGTACCGAAAGAGTGACATCAGCACAATGAGGATCGCGCGAGCGGAGTTAAGTTATCATGTTAGTTAGTTCGCTATACCGTTATGCCGATGTATACTACGGTAACTCCACCGCGAAAGCGATCTGGAAAAAAAACAACAACAACAACAATAAGCCCCCTTTTGCTTTTGCTTTTAGTACGAAATGACGGCATTTGATAACGCTGACATGCGGCTCGCTCCCGCCTCACATTATTTCCGACGGTTAGCCCGTCATCGAGTCGTAGCTTTATATACGTGGGATAAGTCTCTCCTCCTCCGAGAGTTCACCGCCAGCCCTGCTTCGCTCCTTTGTTAGAACCATATCCCCCTCCCCCTTACTCAGGGCATAATTTCTCGTAGCAAAGCAAAAAGTAGTAAGAGATGTCGATGCCGAACAGACCCTCGGACGTTTCGTTTTCGAGCCCCGTGGTTGGCGCTAGGGATGACCCGTCCAGACGAGAGATGGTCGAGACGAGCTGGTTGAGATACGCAACTGATACGGATGACTCGGACGGCACGATCCAGGCTCCTCCTCGAGAGTACGAAGAGTATGCTGAAGATGGCCGGCACGAAGAGCCGCACCGGAGCGCCGGGTTCTGGGATCCGAGGATGGATAAGGTCCGGCGAGAAGTCGTTACTAACTGGCTTCGGACACGTTAGTTTAGCCTAGCTTTGGCGCGGGAGACTGGACTATCAGGCTTACCATGTTGTCTAGTGTTGATGCTCATGACCTTCATCTTAGCGGTGCTGTCCATGTACTGGGGAGTGCTCACGCACATCGACGGGAACCTCCACCGGCTGGTAATCTACGTGGTCGACTTCGACGGGCAGGTGGCGCCGTACGACGACGTGACGCCGCTCGTGGGACCGACAGTGACGGAGGTCGCGCAGCAGGTCATTGATTCGCCGGTGAAGCGGAAGTTGGGGTACACGATCGTGCCACCCGACGAGTTCGGCTACGATCCGATTGCTGTGCGGCAGGCCGTGTACGACTGGGACTGCTGGGCGGCTATCATCGTCAACCCGAACGCCACCGCCTTGTTACAGGAGGCTGTCGCAACGGGAAACTCGTCCTACGATCCCACGGGTGCCATCCAGTTCATCACCCAGTCCGCGAGACAGGAGACTACCACCATCAACTATATCGTTCCACTGATGAATGCCCTCGCTGCTCAGTTTGCAGCACGGTTCGGCCCGACGTGGTCTCAAGCTGTCATGTCGAATTCCTCGCTCGATAGAGATGTGATTGCTCGAGCACCCGCGGCCCTGAGTCCAGGTGTCACGCCCTTGTCCATCGACCTGCGTCCTTTCGGCCCGGCTACCGCTACACCGACGGTCAGCATCGGTCTGATTTACCTCATCATCGTCGCGTTCTTCTCCTTTGCCTTCTTCCTGCCCATCCACATGGTACGTCTATATCTATATACCTATATACCTATATACCTGTATATAACTGTTACTCACCGACCGAATTGTCGCGGGACGAATCGGGCCGGTTCTCGTTACAGCTCCTCCCGTTCGGTTGTACACGCACCTAGGCTAACAACAACAACGTCTCCCGTAGCAATTCCTCATTCCCAAGGGCCACCCGCCGCTACGCTTTTGGCAACTCATCGCGTGGCGGCTTTGCGCGGCGATAATGACGTACTTCTTGGTGTCGCTCATATACTCGTTCGTGTCGCTCGCTTTTCAGATCCCCTTTTCGAATCCGCCCGCGTCGCCTACCGAGCCGGCGATGAATCCCACGGCGTACGGCCGGGGTTCGTTTGTCGTTTATTGGATGGTAAACTTCATCGGCATGTGTGCGCTGGGCCTCGCCTGTGAGAACATGGGTATAATCATCGGACAGCCCTGGACAGCCGGCTGGCTCATCTTCGTAAGTACCGCCGACATTCCCCCCCCCTTTTTTTTTTGCGTTCCACGGAATTATCTCGTCCTCAAGTTTGTTGTTGCGCTCGTGGGACGTTGATTCCCACCAGTCGATCGAGCAATCTAATTATATAACTCCCGAATTTCTACCCGAAGTTTGAGGAGGCCGGGAAAAAAAAAGAAAGAGAGAGAAAACTTGCTAACTTGCGCGCAGTGGGTCATCACCAACGTGTCAACAGCCTTCTACGCGATCGAGCTAGCGCCGGGCTTCTTCCGCTGGGGGTACGCCTGGCCCTTGCATCACGTCGTGCAAGCAAGTCGGTCGATTCTGTTCGATCTGCACTCAGAGATCGGGCTGAACTTCGGCGTGCTGTTCGCGTGGGTCGCCGTTAACATTACCCTGTTCCCCATCTGCTGCTACATCGGGCGGTGGAAGCAGGAGAATGGCCAGCGGAACGGCGAAAGGGCCACCGAGTCGTACACCGTGTACGATGCCCGGGCCGAAGGCCAAAAGAAGGTCGTTCCGAAGGAGAAGGGTGTGCTGCCGCCGGTCAGGAAGAGGGGGTTTATGAGAGGTATATAAATTAGGTTAGGTACGTAAGGAAGATTGGAGGAGCACATAGGTAATATTGAGATGGGTGTATGTATTGCATTTCGAGCATAGCCAGCGGGCGTTGGATAGACGAGAACCATAAACCAGAATAGAATAGCATTAATCGAGAATTTCCACCCTGCGAGGGATCACATGGCGGTATTCATGTAGCGTTCTGTCTACATACAGGTAGATATATATGCTTTATATTTTGCATTAACATTGAATTAAGTATTTGTTTTGGCAGAATCAAGCGTGTAGTCTGGCATGTGGCTGATCTATACAGGAAGTATAAAAATCGACATGTTCATTTAATCATTTAAGATGTCTGTCCGACATAAGGCGCTCGACAGCCCCAACGGTGTTCCGTAGCGTAGGCTCTAGTGGACGCCTAGATGACTTCACGTCCGCAGGGCTGTAGTACCTAGCGCGAATGGGTTCTTGACAGCAGTAGCGTGGAGTCTATATCGGTTCGTGTTGCCCCTTTTAGGTTATTTGAAAATAATGTCCTTACTTGGAATCATGCCGTTGAGCTGCTAAGTGAGTCTAGGTTTGGTTCTCGGTCGTAGCTCTCATATTTCATAAGGGGGGGTGGCACGATCCTGAGTCCGTGATAACGGTATGGTTGACATGAAGCTTGTTCTGATGACCCCCGGGTTATGAGGGTATAACTCCATGGCATTAAAGCGATTGATCAAGTCTTATATTTAGGTCGAAAGAGTTGATTTAGGCAGACCTATGATCGCAATATATTAGGCTTCAAGTCACTTGCTCAGTATTACCTATACCAAGGACTGTTTAGATGAGAATACATATGAGCTTTAGTTATATGCACTAAGCCTGGCTCATCAATCGGAGGAAATCGTATAAGTACTCACTTAGAGGATGGTTTTAAAATGAATTTCTTTCAAGTTTATAAGAAGACCCGATTGTGACATGGTAAGATTGATGTAAGTGTATGAGTATCATTTTCGCAAGGCCTTATAACTTAGCGAGCCGATTTCTACGCTCGGTTCTTAGGCATATTTCCTATGTCGCCAAACGTAAACGTCTTATCTCAATTACCACTTTACTAAACCCGCCCTAAAGGACAGAAACACCAACTTCTAAGTGAACTAACAAGAATAGTAACGAATCGCAATTAAATTACCCCATGAAGCTACCATGCGGGTCTATGAACTAGGTAAGGCAATCGGCTATCCTGCGGCTTCGGCCCCTCGCGCCAGTATAGAAATGCTTATCGTCTAGTCGGACCACTCCTTCGGCTGCCCCGCAGAGGTATCATGGAAGAGCTCGGTATAATATAGGTTAGGTACCTAGTTATTATAAATAATCCGTCTTGTATCTTTGAACTAAGAGTAATTTAATGGTAATTATAGCTTATAGGAGGAAATACTATAAACACCATCTACCTTGAACATACTGTAAGGTACCTTAGGTAGTCTTTGAAGTGATGCAGTCCCAAAAGATAACCCTGCCAGTGGCCAACCCCTGCGTGTCATTCTGGCAGCAGACTACACGTTCGTTCCCCTACTTACATGTCAACCAGAACGAACCAGTTCCGGAAGTATCCAAATACGCCATAATCGGCTCGGGCATCTCCGGTGCTCTAACTGCCTATGAGTTAATTCAGGGGGGCGTGTCGGCAGGAGATATAGTCATTTTCGAGGCGAGAGAAGCCGCCAGCGGAGCGAGCTCCAGGAATGCAGGACATGTGCGCCCAGGTCAGTTAAATATTACCAAGGGCATATAATATTATTTACGTTGCTAAACTATTATGTACAGATGCCTTCCGTGGCTTCCAAGTCTACAAACAACTGCACGGCCAAGAGCAAGCGCTCAAGATAATCGCCAACGAGAAGCTAGTCTTCCACCGGATCAAGGACTTCGTAGAGAAACATGGGGTCCAGTGTGACTTCAACCCGACGACGACGTTCGACGTGTGCATGACGCAGGAGTTTGCCGATTTCAACGCCCGCAGTTTTAAGGAGTATCGAGAAGCCGGAGGCGACGTCTCCCACATCAAGTTCTACGAAGGGGAGGAAGCGCGGAAAGTAACCCGCGTGCAGAAAGCGTTTGCTGCTTACGAATGGCCGGCTGGCTCGAGTCATCCGGCGAAGCTGGCTCAATGGCTTCTTACGCAGTCGATAGATAAGGGTGTCCGGCTGTTTACTCATTGTCCGGTTACATCGGTAACTAAGTCGGCCTCTTCGACGGCTGACCAGGTCTCTTGGGACATACTGACACCTCGAGGCACAACTAAAGCCTCTACGGTAGTCCACTGCACGAATGCCTTTGCGCCTCACCTCCTCCCCCAGCTCTCGAAATTCATTACCCCCAATCGCGCCCAAGCACACGCCTTCGTGCCTCCACCTTCGCTTAGCTCATCTGATATCCTACCAAGCACCATGTCCCTGCGCCACTCGCTAAAGCACTTCTACTCCGTAGCCCAGCGGCGACCGGACGGGATCATAATTCTCGGCTCCCCGATCGCGAACCCGAATATTAGCCCGGCGGCGGCGGCAAGCCGTCTGGTCCCCGATGATAGCATCTTCAACGAAGAGGTGCGAGATGACGCGGCCAACAACTTCGAGACTTGCTTCCCGGAGTGCGAGAAAGCGAAGCTGAGCCACGGGGAGGGACTGCAGCACACGTGGACCGGTATAATTGGGATGACGACGGACTCGGTCCCGTTCGTGGGTAAGATAGAGAGTCTACCGGGGCAGTGGGTTTGTGCCGGGTTTAATGGCCACGGTAAGAATAATGGCCGTCTTAATTTGATAAGTGTTTTCATGACTAATATGTGCTCCTATTCAGGTATGGCAAGGATATTCACTTGTGCACCGGGCATCGCAAAGCTCATACTTGGAGGTTCATGGAATGACACTGGGTTACCCGAGTGCTTTGAAATAACCGAAGAACGTCTAGAAAGGCTTCAAAAGGGAGTCCCCGGGTCCGTATTTTGAGATGGCGGTATAACCATAACGCCTCAAAAGTATATATTTTAACTAATAGACTACTATCTATGATATTATCTATAAAACATTCGTTTTATTAGGAATTTACAAGTCAATAGGTGGGGGGGGAAGGGGGTTGACGAACGTAGAGTGCTATTAGCCACCATCTTTTAGAATATTACCCAAAATACGGCGCTATTCAAGCCGGACCACCCACATACCGCCAGAGTTATGAGTCCGGTTCGCGTTTAGCGCAACAGTTACAACAACAAATCAGTATAACCCCGACAGCCCAGAAAAATACCCCAGAGCTAAACTAGATCTAGCAGTAAGGTGATGGGTTCGAACCGTATAGACAGCGCACGTAGAAACAGCTATTTTAGAGACGGCCAAAGAAAGAGCGCGTATAGAAAGTAGTCTGGCCTGATGCTATTGGATCCGATAGATCGCAAGGAAAGCGACATGTGAGCTAGATAAGGACGTGGCGAGGTGTCAAATCATCGGTTACGATATGTAAAAGAATCGGGATGTGTCGCATAGGAATGTGGGTGTTCCCTTTTTGCAACATGGTTTAACTTTCTTTGAGAATAATATACCTCCTAACCTAGGGGGTGAACTTGTATTAACAATTTAAGATTATCTCAGGTACTATTCTATATTTCTCTATAGTGGCCGCGTAGTATAAGGCAGTGAGATATATAACCACTCTCTCTCTCATCGGTATAATCAACTTGGTATCTTGAACAGCATCGCTTAAACAGCAGATTCATCCTGTTTCCGTATCCGTGGTCCTCTAGCAAACGAAATCTGCCTAAACCGCATAGCCCCATCCCCAACTTCACCTTCGCGCTCCGAATCAGTTGTAGTCTCCCTATCCTTGCCCACATGAGTATAGGCTAGACTCGGCGTCGGCACGTGCTTGGGCAAACCCAAGCCGGACACGGAGCTAGAAGGGATAGGAGTCCGGATTTGAGACCTATTGATATCGAAACTGGACGCACCCATAGGCCCAGTTCCCGACCTAGATCGCACACCCTGGTTCTTCCCGAGGATCGTGCTGTTAGAGGTACTCCCGGCACCGCTCCGGCTAAGCACGCTGAAGAAGTCCTGCGCGAAAGTAGTCTCGAGATCACGAGGACGGCCGTCGGTAGTCCAGTACCGCTCGTCGCTAAGGTCGGTGCTAAGATGGCGGCGGAAATAACGGTCCTGATTAACCCACCACGCACGCCACCCGCCGACGATAAACAGCGTAAGGGGGATCGTGAAAGCCCAATAAATCCAAAAGGAGGGCATAACGATGGGGTGCGGCCAGCCCTGCGGCGCATCCGCTGATATAGCCGGGTCGCCTGCCGTGCCTGTCTCCCAGTTAAACATGGACACGCCGAATAGCGTACCGATGTATTCGCCCGGTAGGAAGAGGGCGGTGATCACGGCCAATGCCTTCATCGAAGAGCTGTCCCTTGTCGATGCTACTGCCATGCGCGCATTGAGGTTGTTATCCTCCTGCGCCATCTTCGAGTAGATAATATCGATCTGTGCTCGGCAACGTAGTTCTGACATACGTCGATCTGTCTCGAGTGAAGTGCAGAGCCGCCACGTGCAGTCTAGATACTGCCTGATCTCATGCCAGTGGACGGTAAGCTCGTCGTCGAACTCGTCGGCCTCATCTCTCCTAAGTTCCCCTCTTGCCACAGCCTGAGCCCTCAACTCCTTTATGCGCATGTCTAGCTCGTCGCCAGCTTGGATGATGAGTTTCAACGCGCGCTCCATCCACCTCAGTGTGTCGAGTAACTGAATGGCTCCTTTGAGAACATCGTGAGCTTCTTTCATCAGGTGAATTGTCTGCGGCGGCACGTAGTCGGGATCGTAGTAACTAGCTACCTCTGGCGCAGTCGAGGGCGTAACGTTGCGAGAGAACTCGTGGCTTCGTCCTGCACCTCCGACCTTGGACTCGACCATCTCCTTAAGGTTCGACGAGAAACGCTTTAAAGGCTTGAAATGCTGATGCTTCTCTCCTTGGTGATTCCGCCACCAAGCTTCGGCGTTGGCTCGACCTATCGTGCCCGTCACCGCATCGACGTGCGCCTCGAGCTCCAACACCTCGGCATTGTTGGCGTTCACCGCCTCCTCGGTGCGAAATAGCTGTACTTGTAAGAGGACGACCGGCAATACGAGCGGGTGAGACCACCGTGCCCTACAAGAGTCCAGCCGGCGCTCATATTCATCCAACGCATCTTCGGCATGCCACCTTGTATCAAATGATCGCCGTATAAGAGCGGTTGTCGTCCTGGTCTTTAGTCTGTACGCCATTGAGAGGAAGTCGTATGGCGGCTGTGGACTAGAGGAGAAGCTTAGGATTAAATCTTGACGTATGTTAGTGCAAATTACGGAATATGCCAAGAAGGAAAGGGTGTAGCTCTATTCAGCCATATTAAGTAAGGCTCGTGGTGCTGTTATTCACTTACACATCGTCTCCCTTCTCGAGTCCCAGAACGACGATTCAAGGGTTACCCGTTGCAGGGTAGGCAGGGTGCCAGAATGCAACCCTAAAGATTCATAATCATCCACAGTGAGATGCAACCCATCAACCGTACTATTCGTGTTGTGTTGTTCGTCTTCTTGACGAGCACGTCGGTGAGCAATTCTGTTATAAATTCCAGTTAGCCTTTGTCTTTATGAAAAGTTCATGCACCAAGTAAAATCTAGTAATTCGAACTTGGGGCTAGGAAGGGTATAAACAATTAGAAAAAAAAAAAAGCCAAGGCTATGTATACTCACACTTGTCGCACTCTTCCTTGAAGCAAGTTTTTTCCCTTAGGCACAGGAGTGAAATTTCCCTGCGTGCGAACTCCACTTAATCAGCCTACATTCTTTCATTGCTTGGGTGACCGCACTCTATGTCCCGGGTACGGATACGGGTGGCTAGCTCAACTGTCTCCAAAAGATAAGAAATGTAGCATTGGCGTAGCCGTATATCATGTCTCTCTCACCTCGTAGTCCAAACCATGTCCATGTCTAACTGCATCTCGAAACATCCGTAGTGCGACGTCTCCTTCGGACATGATGCTTGGAGAGCGGGTCTCGTCATTTTCTTCACCCGGCCGGAAGACAGCATATTCGTGGTACGAAACGCGAGTCTCTTGGCCCGTCGGGAGGAGAATATCTCGGACGAGTTCGCGGAGGTCGAAGTTGAAGAGGTTGAGTTCATCGAGTCGGGGCCGTTGGTGCTGTTTTCCTGGGCTGTATGTAGCCGAAGAAAGGGCACCCATTCCGGGAACTAAGCTGCCGCGCCGGGTGCTGGATGCCGTGCGGCGGGAACTTTCCTGCCGACTCGGAGGCCCGGCTACGGCGGCAGCTTGATGGCGGGACTCGCTAAGAGCCATGTCCAGCTCGTCGAGGTTGTAGTCTGTATTCATTATCGCTCACCGCAATCAATTGTGTACGGTACGTAATTCATGCCCGCTATTTCTCGAAACGCTAGAAAAACGCCAATAAATCAGATGTAAATAGAATCGTTAACAAAAGCATAGGACAAATTAAAGCGTCTTAAACCATAGCCGTCTTATATAATAGCACAGCTAATTTGAATGACATAAGTTATTCTGGTAGAGTCCTTCGCCTTTCTAACTGGAGAATAAATGTCACCGCCAAGGGTTTAGGGGGCTGTGTGCAATAAATAGCTGTCACGATGTGGAGTTGCGGTCCAGTTTTTCCAGTCGTAACCCTGTCGAACAACTAATCAAACGGTCTTGTGGACAGTTTCTAGGGTATATATTAAGGCACTTAAGCTCGTACTGAATTTTGTCGGGACATCGTAACGTAGTGCAATAACAATAAAACAACGATGGCTCTTAAGGGAATGAGATCTGAAGCTAAGAAAAAGACCCGAGATACAGGTAGGGAGTTAATCGATATGCTGGCCTCTGAAATACATAGTATAATTAATTGGCTAAGCCACTAAGAGGATAGCGTGATTAGTTTTCGTCTTGGTAGTTTCTCTTGGAAACAAATTCAATATCTTCAATTAGGAACTTGATGATAATATTATGTAAATAGCTATTTTGAAACTTACTATTATCAACTATTAGAACTTACTTGTCCAATTCAAGTAGCCATGCTCCAACTTCAGTACCTACGTTCCTACTACATGCCAAGTTAACCCTAACCAACACAGCTATCATGCTTATACATCCAACCAGCTTGAATTACTTTCAAAGCCAGCATTCTGATACTTATGATATTAAAAGGCCTAGTTAGGTACCTAGTTAAGAGAGATTTGAATAGTATCATAGTATTATATATTTGATAATCTAATATTAGTCATAAATGCCAACAATGCTATACTCAACTCTCAGGCAGTATAGTTAGCAGTAATATCCACTTGATATCCCTTGAACTGCCTAGCAGAAACATTCCTATCGAACAAAATATCCAACTCTTCGTATGTTCTACCTTTCGTTTCGGGGATCCGAAAATAGGACCAAATAAGACAGATGATTCCCAGCCCACCAAAGAAATATCCCAATTTACCCTGCATGTTCGCCTCTGCTGGGTTAATCATATATGGAATCGCCACCGTCATTGCGATCCCAAAGACCGCTTGTATCGCCGTGGCCACCGCAATCGTTTTCGATCGGACACGTGTGGCGGAACACTCTCCTAAAATCACAAAGGTGATAGGTCCGACCGACAGGTCGTATGCACCGTTCCAAATCAACATGAGCGAGCTTTCGGCCCAAGCCACACCCGAAGGTCGGCCAGGGATGCTGTCCAGGATACCGATTATGAACATTAGAACGATAAGAACAGATAACCCGATATTAAATATGCGTCTTCGGCCGAAGCGAGCGATGAGGAACCAGGATAGCACAGTGCAAACCCAACCCACACCCAAGAATCCGATGCCCATATAAAATGCATCCTGAGTCGGCAGTCCTGCCTGCTCAAAGAAATAAGTCCCATAGTTGATCAAGTAGATGCCGCTCAGGACCTGCGTTGTATACACGCCGGTGGAGATCTCAGTCCGCCGTAGATTTATTCCTTTTATAGTGTCTAGGTAAGTACTGCCTGCTTCCATCTCTAGTTCGAGTCGATCTGTTTCGGCGATGACGGCCAATGTGGCTTCGATATTTACTTTTGAAGATGATAATCGGCGCAGTGCGTCCCTGGCATCCTCTATTCTACCTTTTCGCACTAGCCACCATGGCGACTCCGGAATGAAGAAGATTCCGGGAATAATAACCACAACCCAGAACCATTGCAGCGCGAAGGGTATACTATATGCCCAATGATTTTCGATCGAGGCCGTTCCAGCTGTAATCCCATTTCCGAGAAGTTGCCCCGTAACGAAGCAGAGATTGGTGTAACTGGTCAGGAATCCACGGAGTGCCATGGGACAGACCTCAGAGGCGTAAGTTGGACCAATAACGACGAAACATCCCAGGACGAGCCCGCCCAGCAGTTCTCCTACAAGTAGGGCCTGCAGGGAGCGCGCGAAGAATTGGATGAAGACGAGACATGCCGTCAGGAGGATGCAACCGAAAAACGTCCACTTGCGGCCGAACAACTCCAAGGGATAGGCCGAGAACAATGCGCCAACGACTTGTCCGAGGGGATTTCCCAACGATAGACCAGTTTGCCACGCCGCCGGAATGACATACTGACCGAAGAATATCTATATTAGTTTTACTTTTTCTGTCTAACTCTTGCGGTAGGTAATTGATAGGTAATGAATAGAGCACATACTTCACCGTCAAGCTCAAACCCAAAGTCCTTTTGGAATTGGGGCATGGCGAACATATTCCCAACGATCTGAGGATCAAAAGCTAACATAATTACACCTATCGAGACGTACGCCGACCAGCCGACAGCGGTCGGGTATAGTTTCGCTGCTTCCCAGAACGACAGGCCATGCTCGCGTTGCACGGCCTCAGCCAACGCGACATCGGCGTCGCCCGACTTTAACGGCTCGTCGCTTTGCGCGACCATCGTAGTCGTCTTATCGATGCTTGTTACACGGGGAACATCCATAGGGCTGGAACTCTCTGCGGCGGTATTTGCGAAAGTACCGTAGTGGTGGGATCGCCTGTCCATTTTATCTACCTACCTACCTCTATGTATGCATCTGCTTTTCCCCTTATCGTTCGTTCCCCTACCACCCATGCGACCACCCAGATTGCCGACTACCTAGACCTCGTTATCTGGGACAGGGCCAAGAATTGCAGGCTGGTCCGGTAGAATGCCTCGCCTCATAGGTCGGCTGCGGAAATCTGAAATGAGGGGAAATCAGGGGTCCGGAGGAATGTGGTATGGAATTAACGTTATAAAGGATCTGCACATGCAACGTAGCAAGGTTTACCTGCGTAGATTAGATATCGAACATGTGTATCGTCAGATACGCGCACGACCGAATACCTAACCCATATGGTCAGCGCTGCATATGGTATTCTCCGCCACGTGAAGTCGGTTCGCGTTGCGATAGAGCCTCAGGGGTTAGCCATATGTAAATTTAATGATATATAGATTACGGACAGGATGCATACGTCGGAACAATATATTCATATTAACTTCGGACTATTCTAGTTTATTATCGCACGGACGATCTTATCGAGATGATGAATCAGTCTAGGTTTGTAATCTTCAGATGAGCGTTCCTGGAATCCTAGACATGATCAGACGAACGGGCGGCTATACGTAACAGGCCGTTTATTTTAGACTTGTACTCACTACAAGTCTACAACCAAGTACGGCGCTAGTGTTAGACCCCGAGAAAGCAGGCATTTATATTTCTTGAACGCTCCCGGCCGTAACTTTCTTTGTTCCTAACTTACAGTAGGTGATGCGGCTGTGTAGATGGCAGCTTGGTTGGTAGATATTCGAAGCCTACCCTAGCCACATAGAGGCTTGATAGCACAAAGCTAGAAACAATCTATCATTGTTTACAATTCCGGCGCCAATACCCCTCCGGCTTATAGACTCGTTTCTTTATTCTGTTAGCTACACATTGAAACATTGTCCACAATTCTCTTCTGGCTATTGTTCATTCAACATGGCAGAACTTGAAACTGCTCTTTGTCATTGTCTGTTATGTCCCGTCCGCTGGAATCTTAGACCACTATAACATTTAAAACAAAGAGCCTTAGACATATCATAACCTAATATTAAGTAGTATCCTAGTTCTTCGTACTTTAGAGTTGTATTTACACTTCTTACTCGCATCCTCAGTGTCAATATCTGCTACTTCGATAATCCCAGGTCAACATGGAGTTCAACATCAATTGGCATAGGCTTGTTGCAGCAGCCATCGTCTATTACGGGATCTTGTGTATTATCGCTTGTTTTTTCACCCTTTGGCTTGCTCCTCGGCCTTAGATGGTGATCATTTCATGCTGGCACGAGATTGACTAGTTATGCCGTCTTCCATGCAAATCTTGTATGGATAGTCGTCGGCTTAACATCTAGTTTAATATAATTAATATAGATCTATTCTGATAGTATCCGTAATTAATCATAGTCTTGTCCAAGGCAATAATTAATACTCAGCCGTTTATAGAAAAAGCCCCTTTCAATAATTGATTTTAGCATGCAAATTCTCAATAACAATGTCTAATCGGTCCACTTCGAGGTGTTCGCCATAGATGGCGATATTTACTCTCAATTGCACGACATTGGATTAGACGATCCGGTTGGCTGTCGAGGTCAAAATCAAGATACAATAGGAAGGTCTGGTTAGCTCAACACTTGGAGAGTGGGGAAGTATTCGGATCTTTCTTTTACATCCGATCGAAGAAATAGATGCATATAAAAGTCGTGAAAATTCTAATTTTGATTTCGCTGTTAGCCGTAGCTTTCTCTCCAGCAGTCGCAATCGGTAAAGATGAAAAGCATCATTCAATACTCGACCATAGCCCTTGCCGCTCTCGTCTCCGCGGGTCCGGTCATGGAGCGCTCAAGCTCGCCGTATGTGGGGCCCGAGAACGGAACGCTTGTAATTATAGGGGGTAACGCGCAAGACGACGCTATTTACCAGCGCATCATAGATCTAGCCGGCGGACCAGATGCTCCAATCGTCACAATCCCTACTGCCGAGGGGAGTGACACCTACGACGACGATGCCGCTGCGGCGGGCACGTTCAGGAGACTTGGCGCCAAGAATGTCACCGTTCTACATACATACGATCCAAAAGTCGCCGATACGGAAGAGTTTGCGGCTCCGTTGCGGGCTGCTAAGGGTGTATTCTTCGGAGGCGGTCGGCAATGGCGTCTCGTTGACGCGTACGCTGGTACCCTTACGGAACGCCTATTCCACGAGGTGCTCGACCGCGGCGGCGTCGTTAGCGGAAGCTCAGCAGGAGCATCTATCCAAGGCAGTTTTCTTGCCCGCGGTGACACGGCCAACAATCAGATCCTAGTGGGCGATCACCAAGTAGGCTTTGGATTCGTGAAGGACGTTGCCATTGACCAACACGTGCTCGTACGCAACCGCCAGTTCGACATGTTTGACATCCTTAAGGTTCGACCGGAGCTTTTGGGCATTGCTATCGACGAGAACACTGCACTTATTGTGTCTAAGAATGATGCTGAGGTGTACCGAGGTACCTACGTGATTATTTACGATGGACGCTTCTGGTCGAGGGAGGGAAGTGATTTAAAACATCTTCCAAATAATTCATCTATCTTTTATTTCCTCAAGGATGGAGATAAATACGATCTTGGAAAGCGGCAGGTGGTTGTCTAAATAGGATCATTAATACGCTGAGGCTTAAAATAGGGGTGTCTTTACCTTTCCCTTTAGTCAATAAATAAGTACCTAAATACTTGTATTATCGGAATAGCTTCAAGGAACTACACCTGTTTTTAGTTTAGTAGAATTCGTAATTGGTAATAGGTACTTTCCGAAAGCATGTCTACCTACTACATACATGTAGTACCTGCCCTAACTGCACAATCCGGGGCTCTTACTTTCAGTAACAACCTTGGAACTATACGTGTCAGGCGATGTCCCATTATTTGTGTGATTCGTGAACACACATGGTACATTAGGTACGTAAATGCACGGTACACAACATTGAAGGTACAAACTTACAGATTCTTTAGAATCAGATTCAAAGCACCCATTGTACCTTCCTCACTCCTCAAGAATGACCTAGGTTAGGTACATAACGTAATGTGACTACCACGTAGGGACGTACCTTAGGTACCTCTTACTCACGGACCTCGTGTACTTTAATTATATTTTCGTTATGATTTATATATTTTTATATGTTTGCAAGTACTACGTAAATAAATCTACCTTCGGAACTTCTTGATTCTTTGCATTGGACATCTTCAAATTCCCTCTAGCATCCAATTGTTATCCCCAAAGATTCATCTAGGCCCTTTAACAACAACAAAATCATTCTCTCAAAGAATAAAAGTTGTCTTCCACAAAATTCTTAGATATAAAGAGATAATAGCCTTGTTTTACCAGGTATATTTCCACCCCTTCCTATTAAATACTGAGGATGTCAATCCGATATAGAAACGGGACGTCATTTTCTAACTTTGCTTGCAGACAAACCACGGCTAGAAGGAATCATGGAAAGACTTGAAGTTACTTATGAAGCACTCCGCGCTACGATTGCTAAGCAATCAAACCAAACCGGCTTGGACCTGGGTAGGGAAGCCATTATAGAGAATGGCGTATCACTGGAACTATCAACACCACCCTGTTTCACCCTCTTCTCTTCATTTCCCCCCGAGATTCGAGACATGATCTGGAGTTTCTCGCTACCCCCTGATACGCAAGAGGTATGCCTCCTAGAGAAAGACGACGACGGTATGACCGATACGTCTCCCATAATCTGGACCAAATTCCCAGCAATTATGCACGTATGCCGAGAAGCGCGGAATATAGCCAAATTGTACCTTCAATTTCGCTATTGGGAAGAGGGGCAATGTATGTTACCATGTCGGCATTTTCGCCCTGACCTGGATATGTACGTTCTTACGCCAAAAGCCCCGTTGTCCTCTGAAATAGCGGCGAAACTGCGGTATGCGGCCCTCGATGCTATGCCAAATAGTTATCGACAAGTCATGTTCTTGAACGCCCTTCCATACCTCAAGAATCTGGAGACGTTGTATCTCATGCACACTCTACCGATAAACCTGGAACCTTATAACAAAATTGGCAAGCTAAAGCCACTAATGAAGGCGACCCCAAACAAGCTTCCCGAGCAAATGCAGCGTTCGGTTGTCCGCTGGCGCGAAAGCCTGTCAACCCTTGCAAAGAATCGTCTATCCACGTGGAACGACGACATCAAGGCCGCTATCTGGGACGATGAAAAGCAGGCGCTCAAACTACATGTTGAGATGGATGTCTTCATCCACTATAACTGAACACCTGAAGTCTATCACTACCTACCACTAGGATCGACTTCACTCAGCCAAATCATACTGAGTATACCTGTATCCGAGGGGTTTCCCCGGTCAAAGCCCGGTGGCTAGGGGGACGGTATGGACAGGGGGGACGGAATGCTATAGGCAGGAGGATATAGGCAGGCGAAAAGGATTTCTTATGTCAAGGGATACTCTAATTGAGAACTTCTAAGTGTCTAATGTTCCGTGGATGCGAGTTGTTTTAATATACCCAAGTACATAGCCTCTGGGCGTCAAAAATAGCATCATCATGACATAAGTGTTTTGCCATCTCCATCGCTGAATTCAACTTAAGACGGAAGGACCTGGTAGAGATATGTGTGGTGCAGAAGAGTCAGTTCCAGGGAGTACAGCATATGGACGACAAGCAGATTCGCCAGGTACCTAGGTAATCACTAATCATAATATTAAATTACTAGTTACATATTAAAGCTTTCCAAGTATATGTGTGGACTTATCGCATCCTATCCATCTTTCCTCCTTATGTAGTATAAAAACTGCCGCCTTCTTACACTCCGTGCGTGTGTGCTCTTGGCACATCTGTCAAAGGAATCCATTCGAAGCTGTCATCTAGTACTGGCAACCTCGTATGGTGGGGTCTTGCGGGTTGAGCAGGCGGTAATAGCTTTGAGCGATGCGTCGCGATGGGTAGTATGTTCGCTGCCACAATACCTAAATTCGCCTCGATCCTGTTTGGGGAAAGCTCTACGTTAGCATGCGGACGCGATCACGGTGACATAGCTGACTTACATAGAGACAATTGTAATAGTAATCAAAGGTACATAATGGCCGTCGTAACGGAACCATTGAGACATCCATGCTCGTGCCCACATGAATGCGCCGGTGCTGGAATATTATTAGCAACCCGAATACTATACTAGGATGAGGAGTAATACATACATAGCAGAAGCGACCGCAAGCCCGTAAAACGGCTTTCGCATAGCGCTCCTGGTGCTAAGATTCAGAGCTATCTCTATCGGGAAGCCCGTAAGGATTATCGGCGTGAACACCTCAAAGACTAGCAAGACAGAAGTCAGCAACGGCAATATCTTCGTCATATTCTGGGAATACACCTACAAGTTCGGGCCCAGTCGAAGAGCGCTCGGACGGTATCATTCGAGCATTGAGAATGAGGGGCGAGCATGGGATACCACGCCGATGCGCCGCATGTCGCAGGCACGACTATGATCCATAGAGGATATACCAAGAGAAGCATTACGACCTGGATGGCCACGGCGACGCTCACGCACCTTACGTCTTTGACGAGGGGCCACGCCGAGAAGCATATCGACAGCTTGCCTAAGATGGCGGAGACGGCGAAGAGAGACTGGGTGAACTGGTCAATTTCGGGGGGGTAATCAGGTGAGATGCTAGTGTTGTCTGTTATCGCGCAGATGATGCCGATTAGACTGAGGAGCTACATGTTTTTATATAATCATCAGCATCGTGACTTCTTAAGAGGGAGTCAGGGGGCGGCGGGGGGCTGGCTTACCCAGGCCATTCCAACGCAGAGGCTATCCAAGAAAGCGAGGGGACGCTGGCTGAAAGACTGCAGATAGTACCGGAGGAGAGTTACTAAGAAAGCGATGAAGAGCGTGAGTATCCCGAAGGTAGTGAGGACGATTACCCCAGTGTCGAAATAACCGCTTATGCTAAACATGTTTGCTGATTTGCAAAGTTAGATAACGAGTGGTGGTGAAAACGAATGATGAAAGGCGAATGCCGAGTTGTTCGTTGAATTCTTCGCTGATCCAATACTATTTCAGGAGAGGAGCCCGGTATTTATATTATTTCTTCTTAGTCCTGGGTTAGTTCTACGGCAGAAAAGCTATCACATTAAGTTACCATGTAAGTTTCTATTAAGCTAGTGACAGCGAGGAAGCGTAGTCTAAGCTTTTGACTCTTTGACAGTCCTCACAACTATAGCCATCCATTCGGAGATAGGTTACTATGTATAAACTTAATTTGAGAATGGACGTAAAGACGATTGGCGTTCACTTCAACATAATCTAGAGACTGGATTCTAAGTAAAATTCTAACTCTTAGAAGTGGTTATTTAGAGAGTAAATTTAGCAGACAAGAATTATATTTAGAGGGAACGTATTTTAACACGAGCAAGCACATTTAGGATTAACTACCTGATATGTTCAAGTAGAAGGCCAAATAATATACAATCTCCCACAGACTACCTACACGCGAGCCACACACCAGAAAAGAGCAAAGCAAAAGAAAAAAGAACAGATAGTGTGGAATTCTTCCAACGAGCTGATCATATCCCCTTCTCTCCCTAAGAAGACTAGCATAATATAAACGCGGCGTTAATAATAAGCAAAGACGAGAGTCTTCAAAATAAAGAAAAGGGACGAGGGGAAAGATTATGAATAGACAGCTATAGTTCCGATGAATAGGTATAGTTCATTTCATAGGAGAGTCAATGCCGCGTTAACATACCTCCTAAAGTACCAATACACTAAAGAGGCGGCGGCTGAGCCTAGCAAGCCCCAAAAACACTTTGATATTCGATATCCCACCGCAATTTATCTTAGGCCGAAGCATAACCTTAGATAACCTACCTAATTACTATACACACGCGACCACTCAGTCTTTAGTTCTTCCCCATTGACTAAGACAGCACTGGAGGGTTGGGGCCCCTCAACACAAGATGAAGCTAATAGACTAATAAATAAATAATCATCCGAATATACCACATACACCTTGCCTTGGAGGTAGTTATTACATCTCGTAAATTCATACTATACCATATCATACCGTAGCTTAGGTAGATTGTCAAAACCTTCCAGCAAGCCTTGAATCCATAAGCCCTAAAAGAAAACACATATTTTACCCGTGATTCGAGTATGTGTAATTCCCACCAACCTACCCGTATATCCTATAACTCAAAATCTCGCCTCGACCTTCTTCTCCGTATCCTGTAGCGCCCATGCGCTCGACGCCTTCCTACTAAGCACGCTCCTGCACTGCGCAGCCGTAAACCCTTTCGCTTCAACAGCAGGATTATACCCAAGGCCATTCGCCCTAGCTATATCCGCCGAGTTTCGCTTCTGCGCCTCGCCGTGGTCCGGACGGCAGTACACCGTGACGACGGCGGCGCCGCCTAGGCCTAGATTATGCTGGAGTGCGTACTTCGTATGCGGAACCGCGCGGTTATTTGCCCAGCCGCGAAGATGCCAGACTAGCTCGGCGCACTGGGCTAGCCCCGTAGCGCCGAGGGGGTGGCCTTTGGAGATCAGCCCGCCGGATGGGTTCACGACGTACTTGCCGCCGTAGGTGATGTCACCACGGCGTACCATCTCGTGCGCTTTGCCGGGTTCGCATAAGCCTAGCGCGTCTAGCGTTACCATCTCGTTGGCCGAGAAGCAGTCATGTAGCTCGACGACCTGGACATCGGCCGGCGAGACCTTGGCTTCAGCTAGCGCTACCTCGGCCGCGTGCTTGCTCATCTCGAAGCCGATTAGGTCGATCGCGCTGCGCGAGAACAGATTCGGTGAGTCTGTTGCCATGCACTGGCCCGCGATCAGTATGGCCTGGTCCTTCAGGTGCGGCCTGGCATCGAGGAAGTCCTGCGAGACCAGGACTGCGGCAGCGCCACCGTCCGACGTGGGACAGCACTGTAGTTTGGTGAGGGGCTCATGGATCATGGGTGATTTGAGCATTTGCTCTAGGGTATAGACATCCTGAAATTGGGAGTACGGGTTGTTGACGGAGTGCTGGTGATTAACCCTGCCGATCTCTGCGAAATCCTCGAGTTTGGCACCGAACCTGAGATGAGTAGTTAGTATAGTTATCCACGATAGATGTAACTTGCCATGGTTGTAGTCTGTAGAGGTTGGAGGGCTATGCCTACTTCTCCATGTCTGCATATAAGTGTTAGCAATAATTCGCATCTAAATTTGGTGGCTTAGACATAATATAGGGGTGATTATGCTTGGTTGAACTCCATATTCTTACACCCTAGATAGATGAAAAAAAAGGGGCAAAAATAAAGGGACAAAAGATGGCTTGAAATTACGTACATTCCCGGCCAGCATTACCAAACATTTGCGCCGCGCCGGGAGCGTTCGTGTAGCCGCGAGTTTCGGCCATCATCTTTCCCGAGGTACCAGTGGGATTCTCCCTATCATTGAAGAAGCTCTGGAGACTGCCGCGCATCATCTTCTCGAAGCCGACGACGAGAATGCAGTCGGCGCCGCCGTAAGCAATGGTGTTCCGAGCCATCGAAAGGCCGGTAGAGCCAGTAGAGCAGTTATTATTGACGTTGAGGATGGGGATTTGGGTCATGCCGAACTGGTAGAAGACGCGCTGGCCACATGTAGAATCCCCGTAGCAGTAGCACGCGATACCCTGCTCGACGTCGTCGTAGTTGATATGCGCGTCGAGCATGGCTTTAACACCAGCTTCGAAGCCGAGCTCCGTATAGTCGACTTTGCCGCGGGGCTTGATGAACTTGGTCATGCCCACACCGAGCACGTACACGGGCTGCTTCTGTTTGGCGGGCATCTTGAAATTGAATTTTACCTTTGGGGATAAGTGTGTAAGAGGTAGTAACCAGTCCCGTTGAATAGGTAGCTTAACGTAGTAAGGCACGTGTATAGCTTGTAAGGAAATACGCTAAGTGGGATATTTCAGAGAATAGATATTATGATCACATAACCCCATATAGGTATATATAAATACTAAATCCTCCTCTAAACTCCCCAGATATGGGGAGTACAAGACCCCAGTTACGCGGGGCCTAGGTAAACGGTTACCCACCTACAAGTCGCCAGGATCTTCAACAATATCTGTGGGGATTTTTACCCAAAGAAGCGAAGTATCAGCACACTCGAATTACTATGGCAAGATATAACTTCGAGCTTTATCATCAACAATTGCCTTTTTAAGCAAAGATTAAGCCAGAAACTTCGAATCGTCTTGTATTTACTATAGTAAATACGCTGTGTTAATACTTATTAACTATTTTAAATAATTATCCCCATAGATATTGTTGAAGATCCTGGCGACTTGTAGCCGAGGCACTACCCGAATCAGTATAGTTTATGTAACATAAATGACTTGAGGGCACCCCTACGGGGCACCATAATAGCCCGAGTTTACGAAGGTCGTAGGTCGATCACGTGCCGCTACTGCCGGGGAAGGGCGCTCGGCGCACGAAGCGTGCCGAGCGCCCTTCCCGGCAGCAGCGGCGGACACCTCGGACACCAAGCTTTGCTAGAATTCTTTTAAAAAATGAAAGATAAAAAGATAAAAAAAAAGATAAAAAAAAGGAGCATATGGGATTTGAACCCAGGCTCTTGTAAAACTTGGATTATTTAAGTATGTAATGGGTGGTTACGTCAGGCTATTTGCTTACTTATTACCTCTTAAAAGTCGGGCAAAAAAAAAAGATACGTATTTTGATCTGGAAGAGCACGTAAGAATTCGAGGATGCACCCAATAAAAATGCTCAAAAGCTGCGCACCGACGAACTTCCTATTTCGAACCTTGTTATCGATTGCATCTCAGTGTTTGAAGTGTTTGAAGTCGGTACAAATTTTCTATTAACTATTCTTTTCGTTGCTCCGTTGGCCGCATACTCAATTCGCTCCTTGTATTTTCGTCTCGCCAACTCTCGCCCTTGCTAAAAGCAATATCTGCTGTTGTCAACTTATCATCACGATCATCCGCTTAAAAAACGCTAGAGAGCAATCATTATGATTTTAATTAGATGTATGCCGGCTTCTATCGACCGGGCTTATATATGTTTTCGGTATAACGTGAACACGAGGTCGGACGTCAGCTGTGGTTAGAAAACGCGCCAAGATATTGACTTCGTCTTTACGCCAGTTGGTAGTATCCTTGCCGTCGACAAGGGTATTAGTTCATGTCGCCAGTCGGACAGTTGACTAGCTACGCTTCGGCTCCCTGCCATGTATATGGGAGCTTTCGTATCAAAATGGTTTCAAGCAATAGGCTTCGCGGTTCGAAGCCCAGCCGTAGGAGCTCCGATGAGGTTTTCAACGAATTTGCATTACCTGGCACCCCCAGCGCATTCATCGTAACAGCTCAATAGCAGACGGCTCCGGAGAAAATCGGGATAATTCAGCCATGTAGTTGTAAAGCGAGCTTTTCAAGGCGGCCCAGGTTGGAGTACGGGAGTCCAGAATTCCATATCCCACATCGCAGCAAAGTCGTCCGGCAACTAAATAATTAGACTCGTATATTCGCCAAGGAGTTGTGACAAACTTACAGAATTGAGAGCATCCGGCGCCGTCATAAAAGGCTGCATGTGGCCCATGAAGCCTGGGTCCGTCTGCATTCCATTCATTTGCATCGGTACCGTCGGTGGCATAATCTATTCGGAAAAGGTTAATAAGAGGATGGGAATAGTTGCTAAATATTTCTTACCGGCATCGAAGCAATATTTTCCTGGTTCGCGTGTATCGCTTGCAGGCCTGCATCAAGGATTGCCTGCAAGCCCTTTGTGATGGCGTCTCTCTTCTGCTCTGGAGTTCCGCCCTGACAGGTGTTAAACACGACGGTAAGCGAGACTATGTCCCTCAAGTCCGTCCCAATCTCTCGTATTCTTTTGATTTGTGTATCTAACACGTTTTGCACGGCTCTCTTGAGCCGTGGGAGGGACAGCAAGACCGAACTTGAGGAGGCAATGGCGTACGCTTCCTCGATGGACTCTACTTTGGTATTTGAATCCAGATCTGACGGCGCCGGCGAAGCGGAGCTGCTAGTAGCTTGTTTAATGTAATAGCATATGCTAAAAGCAGCCTGAAGAATCTCTTGTTTGAGTATCAGTTGGTGCAGGTGCCAAATACGGTGATAATCAGGTGAAGCGGGATCCAATTCATCCAAGTACGAAAGCAATATCATTGACGATCTTAGATATCCTGTCACGATCTGCTGGGGAACATCCGTACTTCCCAACGCGAAGGGCCGGTACAACGCTAATAGCGGTCGACGGCAGTGCATATCTAAGACGACTCGTGTCATCCATCGTCGCCGAACCTCTGACATATCGTTCGAGTGTGCTGTTGGGACCATATATCTTATGTCCTCGAAGACTCGTTCAAGTTCGTTACCGAGGTCCAGAACCTGCTCATAGTCCTGAACATTGTCGGTACGGTTGATTAAATCGACAACCCTGAACCGCATAGACAGAGTGTTGGCAGCGAACACCTGGACACGGGAATCGGTATCTTGGTCGATCGGCTTCGGAGGAGGGAGCTGTTCTATATCGGGATGGATATCTTCATCGTTGAGGTTTCTAGGCGGTTGGCAGGTAAAATCGTTTTCTCGTATGCAGCAAGGAAGATTGCACTGCATAGACATATGCACGTCAAGCTCAAGTATCGTGTACCACAACTTTCTCCTCTGCTCAGCCCAGAAAGGCGGTATATTCTGCGAGAATTCCGACGGATCTCGATGAAAGCCCATGGTCATCGCCATCCGCACGATGAGTCCAAGATGCGTCCAAGATTCCTGGTTTTTGGGATTGATCATTCTCTGAGCCATGAGTTGGAGTATCTCGGCTTGGAGTGTAGTGAATTCAACTAATTGTTTCCCCCGAAGACCGTCAAGCCAAGCTCTTACAAGACAACTAGCCGTCGGAATGTGAATTCCTTCCCGATCATGGTACTGTCCTTTGCCAACCCCAATATACCGATACCCCACACATAAGATCGAGAGCAGTTGTGGCAGAAAACCGTCATGTTGAGGTTTACCCTCCCAGTACTCGTTATACTGTCTCATAAAAGAGGGGATATGTAGAACACGATAGATGGTCTCGGATCCTTTTAAGTAGATGCCGAGTAGAGTGTCGCAGACCGTTCTACTTGGTAAAACATCGGCCATTCGCTTCTGGATCGGCGTCATCGAGTCCACGAACACAGTAATAGGGGCAGTGACTTTTCGATGCTCATCCTGAAGAGCCTTGTGGATTTTCTGGACGTTTAGGAATAATTCCCTGATGTCGCTGGATTTATTCCTACTAAACATGAAGTCCTTTGCTTCGTCAAACTAACGACGTAGTTAGTTAAAGTGGTTGGCGTGACAATAGAGATTTTCGTCGAACAAGGAGCAACTCACCAGGTTAACAAGAACCCGTGTGCTGCTTTGGCCAAAGAACCGCGTTCGTAGTCCCCCTTTCACCGTCAAGCCGCGAATCGTAAGAGACGACGCCGCGGGGCGTTGCGCCGGGATGCTACCAGACTCGGCGAGAGACGAAGTTCTCGAAAGCAATCGCCCTTCCAGACGCTCAAGCCTTACTGCGTGGTCCTCGAGTACAGCTTCGTAGCTAGTATCGCGCTGGCCGGATTCCTGACTGGCTGCGGGGCGGTTCCGCTTGGTATTCCTCTCGGGCGCCTCGCCATCCGAACCATCACTTAGGCTTACTACTTCACCTTCGGCCGCATACCGACATATGCGCTGTGTCTTCTGGCACTGAGAACACGGCGAGGCTCGGTCACACCTCAACTTCCTTTTCCGACACTCCAAGCAGCTCTTGACGGGTCGTGGTCGTTTCACACTCCGGGATGGCGCTACGAAGCTGTAAGCAGGACTCCTAGTGCCGCTCTGGACCGATGCCGGCGATTTCCCAGTGTCCATCTCAATATCCATTGGGACTTGTATGTCCAGCCGATACTCAGCAGGATGCGCGAACTGAACAGCAGGCGAGTCGATTCATGGAGGTGAATAAGATCGAACCAGACCATGACGAAGCCGAGGCGGTATGTGACGGAACATCTGACCGGACTCGACTGCCTGGAGCTCTCTGACCACTCTGACCACTCTGACCACCACACAACTACGTAGACGGGTAGATCAAAGGCCAATAGCAAATACGAGAAAAGGAATAACTAATAACATAAGACGTCAATTAGGAGGATCCAAGCTAGCTAGCTCATCATCAAACTACCTAGGCCGTGTCGGTGTTGGAACTTGGAAAGGCATTCCGCTATGGAGTCGTTCCGTCAGGGATTTTTCAGCAGTTCCCACTGCTGTCGACGGCAGTATGTTAATTCTACATTCCTACATTCCTACCTGGGACAAGTCTAGAACTTCAACCGGGAATATAAGCGCGCCACGTGATTAGATCCCAGTCTGCTACTCCATCCAGCCCATCCCGGGGCTTGCCAAGAAATCGTCAAGGCCAAAAGAGCCATACAGAATCCATATAGCATCCTAGCAAAGCCCCAGTCAGCCCAGTCTCTCCTGGTCCCTCCTGGTCCCTCTTCCCGGCAGTCTTCGCTAGTCTCGGCCGATTCGGGGATTAGCTTTAAATACAAATCAACATCGTGGAGGCGCCAAGGCTAATCGTCATTTCCGAAACGATGGATCAACAAATGCTTTGGCCCTCGAGACGGCCCTACGCTGTGTTTCAGCCCATTTCCGGCAACGACAAATTTAACGACGTTGCAATCTGTTCTGGCCGGCATCCGACCCGTAAGCATGCACAGATAGCTCGTTAAGCCGCAAGAGGCATCTAAGCCGGTCGTCCGTGCGACGCTCAATCCCCGGTCCGCCGGGTTTCCCGCGTGGTCGCTAGGATGAGGTGGACAGGGCTAGCAGAGGAGATGAATGGTAAATGAGATTTATGTTACCTAGTGGCATGGGGGAGAAAACACCACCTCGAATGTTGTAACTGGATACTACTACGCTCATCCTTGCACGCGGCAATGCCTACCGAATCTGGAGTAAAGACGTAAGGCAAAATGCTTAGATGCTAAAACGGAGGAGACCTTTCCATGAGTTCTTCATCACGAGAAAGCTTAGCCAAGTAAGGGCTAACTTAATCCTGACGTCTAACCGGCATACGAACCGCTTAATATCCTTTTATCAGACCGTAGCACTAGCTGCATATATTTCCCTACTTTTCGGTCAAACACGTCTTGGTATTGGATCGCGAATAGCCTACATAATACCTACGTTAGCCCTATGAGGAGAAATCGGCTGCCTATCCACTGTCTGATCGCATCAGCATCAGATGAAGGCTACATACTCGCTTCGCTCGACTCAGCTAAGTTTATAACACTTGCGTAGCTTGCGGAACTACTGGCGACGCAGCCCTTGCCGAAGGCACCAGCGTAGTCGGTATAGCAAGCGACGGCGGTGTCGGTATGACCAGTGCTCTCACGTGCGCAGGCGCGGTAAACGCGTAAACGCCAGTGGCTGTGGCCGTGATAGGGCCGGGCTTCGTCTGGCTCACAGGGAGCGCGCCACTGTAAAGGGCCGGCTACAAGATGTTAGCTTCGATATGAAACCGCAAGTGCTAATAATAGGAACTTCGGATCCGACTTACGCCTGGGATCACATAAGCCGTCGGATGCGAAAATAGATCAAACTTGATGCCGGGGTCGTCGGCCTTGTAGAACTCGGTGGCGGGGATACCAGCGGGATTCGCGGTGCCCTTGCTGTCGATGGCGAGGTTATAACAGAACGGGTAGCTCTGGGCGCCGTTCGCGTTGCCCGCGACGTGCAGTGCGATGATTTCGTGTCTTAGGACATAGTTTCCAGGCGCGATGTCTTCCGGAATCCGTACGAACCAGCTGTTATTGTTGTTGGCTAGGATGTTAGCCGCCCACAGGTCGCTGGCCTTGTCTACCCATCCGGCCTCGCCGATCTTGAAGAACTTGAGCTTTGTCTTGTCGACGGTTTCCTTTTTCGAATGATTAGTCTAGTATCAATATTAAGGGTTTTCTCGCCGCAGGATAGAGCTAGCCAGAGCAATATAAGGCTAGCTCACGTGCGAATAGGAGACGTACGCATGGCCCGTTGCAATTTGCGAGGTAGTCGAGGACCGGTCCCTTGTGCGACGCCGGCCACGGCGTCCACTGTACCTCAATTACGTCGCCTCCCTTCACGGGAGCGGCCGCACCTGCCGGCTTGGCACCGAGGTGGCATACCATATCCGGAGTGTTGAATTGGTTGGGTGCGATGAAAGTATTTCTACATGACTCAAACATCAGCTAATGCCTCTGATGCATAGTTACGATCGGCATGGTGGTGATTTTAGGTACATACTGTAAGTCGTCCGGGACGGACCATCCTACCACCGTAGGAAGTGGGTTCTTCCATTGATAACTCGGATTATAACCATCGTAGCTATACTCAAGCGTCAGTCATACGAGTCAACCACGGGGGTACAGATTTCTTTCTTCGCTTACAAGGTGCTATCTATTACAATTGCACTAGCGATGCCGTGAGCATGTACGCCGACAGCTGAAAGGAGAGCGGGAATAACGATAGAGGGTATAATATTAGAGAACGCCATCGTTATAGAGGATCGTCGCTGCGCGCCAGATGATCTACACTACACAACAGGAGGATGATCATACACGTACGGTTTATCCCGGAGGACTATAAGTATACCAACTCGAAAGGCAGCCAGACACCACGACCTGGCCCCGGCGAAGCTTCTCGGGGTATCCTACGATGGAGTGCTCTTCATAACGAAGGATCCAATCATATAGGCATGTTCATGTCCGTACCTCCGTCGATCTGCTTTCGACTCTAGAATCCGCGTCACGATGCAATGTCCAAAGGTCTAGAACCAATTAGAGCCCAACATTTATATCAGCATCTCATCTTCCCGCAGCGAGAAGCTTCATTCCCCACACGACAGATTCCAAATTCCGGGGCTTCTCTGCCCGAATCAATAACGGGTCACAACCCCATGGGGTTCAAATGCGGGAAAGCTAGGCTCTGGAAAATTGGTCATTGGATGCTGTCTTGGTCAAGCTTTCCGTCTAGCCGGCGGCTATATTCGACTGACAGGGAGGCTAGCCACATGATAGCTCTCAGACCGGCGGACCTATCCTTCGTGATTTCTAATTATGTTTTCTCTAGCTAGAGACGCCAATAGTCATGAAGATTTGACGATGCAACCTAATTTGCGTATGCATTTTAAGATATAGGACTACCTCGGCTCATGTGTTATTAATATCCACGGAAGTAGATTGGTTGGTAGGTAAATTTATGATAAGACATATGAACGATATAGGAAGATGAGATAACTCACAGGTACTTCAGGTAGTTTAACAACTTCCTAAACGGGCAAGTTCATGGAAAGTTGAACCTATGAGAGAATAGGGCAGTCATGATAGGTCTACTACAATTCTCAGCTCTAGTTCTCAGTGGTAAATTGCGCATACCGAAATAATCAATCTAGTGCATTATTTCTTATGTGTAAAGATTACATGTACCCATTGCTACTACCTAATGAAAAGAAATATAATATGATCGATGAGTCAGTCGTAAGAGATGGTAAAAATAAACTTTTACCAAAAGAAGACCAAAAAAAAAGAAAAGCACAATGCCGAACTTGAAGAATGATATCGTAAACCGTCAAAAAGATGCTCTCGATCGGGGAATCGAACCCCGGCCACCTGCGTACTTGTGCGATGACAAGCAGGTATCCTGACCACTAGACCAATCGAGATGATATTTGACATTCTGAGGAATGCCGATTTCCTAGTGCGGTGGATGAAAACTCGCTGCAAAGTAGCGTCTATATCGTTTGCAGCACTAGGAAGGAAAATGCCGCAACCCGGTTGGATGGGATAGGCGCTAGTGAGGTGCTACATGAAAGTACCTGATGTACATACATTATGTATGTATCATCATGGGCCTAAGGTTATTGGAACTAGAAGGGTGAATATGTCCTATTTCAAAATAGTAAGATATTTGTTTAGTAAGTGGAATAGAATCATTGATGTTATAAAGAAAAAGAAAATCAAATCTATTAGCCTATAGTTTACCATTAACCAGACTTGGCAATATCAAGAAATGAGCATTCGCTTCGTTAGATATCACAGACAGCGAATCAGCAGTAGTACATAGTAGTCATAGCAAGCTCGTCATCACAGAAGCTCCAGCACTCTTCAAAGTTCATATACACTCAAACAAGATAGACATGGGACAACGTAGTAATAATAAAAATACCATTCATTCATTCATAAACCCGCCTCAAAGGCGTTCTCTATTGCCAGCACAAAGTGCGCGTCGCATATGCAAGATCGATCCATGCCGGGCTATACATAGGTAGTCGCGAGCCTTGACTTTATACTATATCATACCTAGGTAGGTACCTATGTAATTCCCACGGCCCTGCCCTGCCCTGCCCTGCCCTGCCCTGCCCCCGGATCGTTTCATCGCTCATCATAATAACGGAGTTGTAGGTAGGTACTCGACGAAGCTACAAAAGAAAGCCGGCTGCATAATACATACAACAACACACGCCTGATGCAAGACTGTCTGCTATCGTAGGCCTTAAACAGAAAACATCTATCTATTCGTCGCCAAGCAGCGGGGGAGTACTCCAAACCACCGCGTCCTATTGTCATGCCAAAATGTTGTCGTCGTTGTTGTTGTTATTATTGTTGTGGTGGTGGTGGTGGTGGTGGTCTGCGATCGCTTACTCGGCCACCTCGATGCTGCGCGACTCGCCGTCGACGAAGCCCGAGTTGACCTTCTTGCCCGTCTTCTTGATGGTCTTGAGCACGGTTTCGTAGTCGAGGCCTGGCTTGGCTACGACGAGGGCTTCCTGCTTCTCGAGGGAGACTTCGTAGCTCTGGACGCCTGTTTCGTTGCGCGATTGTTAGCCCATCTAATATGTTTGTCTATTTATTTATTTGTTTATTTATTTGTGTGTGTTCATATAGGTGTTAACGACTTGCTTGCGCGACATAATCATCGCACGAAGAAAGGGGAGAATGAACCGTGGTTTAGACGTAGGACTCCATTGCGGCATCGCAAAAGGGACAAATGGGAAAATAAACTCACCCTCTAGCTTGCCTAGCACGCGGTTAACGGCACCGGAGCAGCCGCCGCAGCTCATGCTGACGTTGAACTTGTAAGTGTGTTCCTGGTCGGCCATTGCGAATGGTAAAGATAGGTATCGGCTTTGCAAAAAGAGAAAAAAAAGATGAGGGGGTATCTTAACGATGTAAATCGGCGGGGTAGTTAGGAAAGTTGAAAGTTGAAAGTTGTCTTGGTTGCGATTCCGAAAAAACCTAAGGATTGACTTTGTCTGTTTACGTACAAGTTGCGATGGTCGGAAGAAGGACAAGCGACGGTTATTATATGCCACTCGGGTAGTATGGTGTATGTATGGTGTATGGTGGCACGGCCGCCCGGGAGTATTAATAATGTCCGTTATGCCCAAGGCAAAAAAGGTAAGTCGTGATTAATGATTAGACCTGATTCCATCGCCCCCGCCTTCAAGTGGGTGGGCTCCTACGCACAAAAGACTCAGCCAAGTATACTACAGTGCGGCGCATTTTATGTATGCCGAATTCACACAGTAACTACCATATGCTCTCCTACACATATGTATACCACGGCTCACAGTATAAGTACTGTAATAGTACATCTGACGCCTATTACCTTACTTGTCGCGTGCTGCCGCAACAAAGAAGACACCTCGCTGTAATATGAAACCTAAGCAAGTTTCCCATCCTCCACCCCCTATTCTTTTCATCCAGATATGAAACCGGACCTGAGTTTTGATTACGAAGAGAGAGAAAGAAAACTTGCTCATTGCAAAATTAAAAATTAGAAACCTAAATCATAGGCAGACGGATGAAGTGTCACAGCTTACTAAATATAGACATCGAGAAGCCGATTTCCACATGTATGTACACATTACCGAGTACTTTTGTACTCACGCCTAAAGTCAGCGGCCTATTCTGTGCAGTGATTGCCTCATGGTCTACGTGATCCCCATTCCCGCATGTGTTCGTCCTGCAGGAACTGTAGTAATGGGTGGCACGCTAGATCTATTTACACATACATTCATCGAATACCGATACCATATCCCAGAAGCATCTCACGACTATGCCCATTCGTACCAATCGAACTAGGCCATACCGGATTTACACTAATCCTGGCATCTCGTCGTCCGTTCCATCCCCGGCATTACCCGCTTCATTTCCAGGCTCTCTAGGATTAGTCGAGTCTCTCAAAGGTATTAAAGGAGGCATCTCGTCATCCGTCCCCTCTTCGTCTGAGTCCTCATCCTGCCATGTTCCGGGCATAGTACCAGGTATATGCCCCAAGGGCCCGTTGGGCATATTGAAATCATCGGCAGCACCTTCGTCCGTATCGAATAGGTTCATGACGGCCTGGAAGATTGTTGACCAGCCGCCAAGAGAAGCTTCATTCTGAGACCCGCCTTCTTCAAATGCATACTCACTCGCTTCGCCATCATCATTACCGCCGTCGTCGTGATTTCCACCTACACCGTCGGCCTCCTCCAAGATGGCCCGTTCGAGATCCGCTTGAATATCCTCAGGTGCACCGGCCAGTCTTGCCTGGGCTAATATTCGCATAAGCTGTCGGCGATCGCCTTGCTCGAGGCCAGCCCTAAGTCGATCTTCAAGTTGTGAGGGAGTCCACGGCTGCTTCTGCGAATCGTACGAGAAGATGTTTTGCTCGAGAGGAGGTGGGAGCGGGTCAAATTCCCAATTAACTGACGTATTTAGCAAGTCGCGCGGTACCAGTCCTATCAAAGAGGGAACCTCTAGTAGGAAGACAAATCGTGCAAGATTGACTCCAACCGTAGGTGGGGATGGGAGCGTTTTGTTGACGTCCGCCCTCTTCGCCTCAGCCGCTACCTCTTTCAAAAGAGATATTGCTTGAGTGTTATCCCATAATGGTTTTGTCTGATGGATGTAGACGTTTGTATGAAGTTCCTCATCTCGGTTGCGCGGTTGCATGCCCCATATGATCTTGGGAACATCCAAGTTGAGTGCTTTGAAGAGATAGCTATACAGCCAAGGCAAGCGCTCCATGCCCTCGACCAACAATGCTTTAGCGCCAGCCATGTCCTTTTGTTGGAGTCTAGCTAGTACGAGAGTCTGCCTAATGTAATCTTGACCGTCTTGTGCCGCATGATTTACATCTAAAATCTCCGAATCGCAAAGGTCAATGAACCACTTTGATTCGCGTGCCCGTATGGCGAGTGGGTGGATAAAGTGGATAACCCCGTACGGATCGGTATGATCTATACTTAGTAAAAGCTTCGCCCATTCCAGTGCCGTCCTGTAGGTGCCCTTCATGATTAGATTCTTAAGGTAATGATATCCAGCCAACCAAAACTGTCGGTTCTCCGGGCGGTTGAACGATAATCTCGCTTTTCCCTGCTCTATCTTCTGTCGGAAAGTCGATAGCGAGACTCGGCCGAAGGTGAAAAGGGCTCGTTCGCATAAGTCTGCAGAAAGCGCCGAATTCTGGTCTTGTTTTGCGATTCTGCTAACTTGGATAAGGCTGGAGACGTGATACGGATGCAGATGTAGAAAATGCACTATATGCATAGGATCGTACATCTGAACGAGGTCAAAGAACGCATTTTCCAACCTGTTGTAGTATGTATCGTGCGCAAAGCGGAACTCAATAGTGCCCGGCAGGCAAGCCACTCCCTCCTTTTCCTCCTTGAACTGTTCCATAGTCAGGCCCTCCGTAGAAGCACGTGGCCATGTTTCCTTGCCAGCCAAAAAGGGGTTCCGTCGCAGCGTTACTTCAGGCAAGCCCTTCCCCGGTACCCCCTTAAGGTAGGTTTCCAAGTCAACTTGCTGGGGTAACGGCTGCCTTTGTCTTCTAGTACGCGTCTGTTCTTGCTCCTCGATCTGAGCGGCAGCGATAGCTTCTCGACCAAATAGGTTGCTCATCTCATTGATTACTCTAAGGTGATACGCATTGATGCTTAGGAGTTCGCAAATTCGCTCGTAAGGCTTGACAATGTTCAGTTGAAAATCATCGTCGTTTTCTTTTCCAGGGTTAGAAAGCTCGAGCTCCCTTAGCGCTTGATCAATTTCGTCTAGTCCGCTTTGCGCAATGGGTTCAGCCTTAACGGGAGCGCCATCTTGCTTCTTAGCCTTCTTCTTCTTTTTCTTGTTCTTCTTCGATGAGCTCTTAGGCGCATCGGTACGGCTGGGTTCGACACTTGGCTTTGTTGTAGCCTCTACTAGTTCGTCTTCCTTCGCGTCGTGGTCGGAATCCTCATCCTGATCATCTTGGTCCCTAAGCGCTGCAAATCCGGAGAATGCGCTTGCTCTCGGTTTCTGGACGGGCCGGTCATCGTCACTCGGTTCGTCGTCCTCCTCGAGAGAATTCTTCGCCTGGAGCTCTTCTAGCTCTTTCTGCTTTTGAAGTTTTCTTAACTGTCTGCTCGACATTCTATATTCTCGAGGTACTCGAATAGTAAGATTGGGGCCTGGATAAAGGAATAGCGTCGTGGAATAATGCGCTGGAAATATTGGAGAGGCAATGTTGATTGTTGACCGTTGACTCAAAAGATTTACCGTTTGCTATGTAATTGATAGTGGGGGTGGGGCCGAACAAGGTGGCGATCATAGGTGATGTAAGGTACGAATTACCTAAGGTGAGGTACTTCTTAAATAAACTTCAAGGCGGGGCTGCTACTTCTACGTATTCATTCTTGCACGAATTACAGGTTACCTATAACAGAGAAGGTTTTACCTACCCCATGCTGCATAGGTAAGGTAGGTACATACCTATATTCCCTCATTTTGCGCTTTTACTTTTTGCTCTCTTGCTTTGACAGTTGTCGATATACCTTCGTTTTCATACTTTTCATCATCTGTCTTGAAGGAGCGAGACACCATTACGCAACACAACTATACTATACTATCAAGCCTCCTTTTATTATTCTACTCTAAATTATATACCTGAATCCTTTTATCCTCTTAACTCTATATCTAATATATATACAAAATAAACATCGGATCTATTAAATTCATGCTCAATCGTTTTCGCATGACATCTGTTCAGTATCACACGCACAACGTTGCGCTAGGATAAAATACCGGAGATGCCAGCATCATCCAGTCCTCGGTGAAATTTATACGACAGGTATTAATACCGCACGTATAAGTTAGTTATCCTGTTTGACATTAATACTTCGCGGTTTGTAGGAGGTTAACTACCTCCGTAACCTTAGGCTTTTCTTGCTTAACTTCGGTGGTGCTCTTGGTCGCGCCCAAAGCCTACATTAATCGTCAGTTCTCAGCTGGATCACACAGAAATAGCAATAAGGGATCGTACTCTCTGGATGTGGCCGTAGATTCCGAACTGGACGGCCGTCATACCTCCCACCATGACCAACCGAGGTCCAATACCGGCGTAGCTTCCGCGTAGGCCAAGCTGACTGACGATGTTGAAGATACGTCGCGCAGTTCCTTCACCTGGTCGCCCCTTTTCCTTGTTGATCTTGCTCAACACCGTATCCGCGGGCTGCGAAACTATCGCGGCTGCCATACCCGCAATAAGACCGCAACCGAGGTTTACTCCCGAAAGTGCTGTGTTCGATGCTGTTTCTTTGTTGATCCAGGAATGCGCTACTTCGAGAGCCTTTTCATACACCACAAACGTCGCCATCGTGTACGGGACCCTATGCTGAAGTCAATTATATGACACGGTTACAAATGATACCAAAACAGGCTTACTGCTTCAACACTATCGGCATGAACCCAGAGTAAAGGCCAGCCATTCCCTCGTGCTTGACCATCCTACCGAATGCGGACAGCATGTTAGGAGCAAATGAAGGTTGGGATACTAATCTAATGCGAACAGCCTCGAATGGGCAAAGCAGAATGTCGCCGAGGAATTCGGCCGCAGCAGAGGAGGCAAGGTATACGGCATTCCGGTTTGCAGCCGCTTTCTCCGGCCCTAGAAAGTCGTTCGTTTGTCTTTTGAAAAATTCGTAGCCGCCGAATTTGAATGCTCCTTGCAGGAAATATCCCGTCACCGTCGGTCCGAATCCCGTCAAGAGGGCTCCAGCACGGTCATTAACGACGATCTGGCGCATTCCGCCTGCTAGGCCTCTATTATATTTAACTGGTTCGAGCTGAACCCGGGTCTTGACCCTGAGTACCTAATGCATCAGCTTTCTTGGCGCAACATATAAACGTTCAATCTTTTCCTATTGGCAATGTCCAATATGCGAAATCATTTTGGCTTACACATCGACTGGAGTCAGTAGGGCATGAGTAAATGAACAGCAGATAGCTCCCGAGAAGGCGTATCTTGCGACCTCCGAAAATTTCATCCCTGAGCTTATCGACAGGGGAGGAATACTGGCGACGCCGTCTGCGACATATTTTACAGGATTACTGTTGTCGAAAACACTGAGGGTAACGGGAGATTCTGGCTTAGGCAAAAACAAACTGTGGAAGAGATGGCATAAGTATCAATCTCGTTTAGGTAAGACAATCATCGTTACTGCATGCTTGCTAAAAATTGAAGTCACCTTTTGACACTGAAAGCGCTCATTCCCAAGCGTCCCAAGATGGAGTCGGCCACCCCTTTCCTCGAATCCGGGTCAACCTCCTTCGCGACCTCCCTAACCGCATCCAGAACCCTGAGATGTTCCTTCTTTAGTTCCTCAAACGAGTTGTCCAGCTGGATATGCCACGGGTACAGGACAAAAACCTGGAAGCCAAGCGCGGACGAAGCGACGGCAAAGTTCGTCAGGGAGATAAGACGCGTGATGATCATTTTGGCGTCGGCGAGGGCGTTGGTTCTATTTCGAATATTCTTCCAGCAAGTATCGTCTGCGGGAGACTAGGTTAGAACATGAAAAGAGTGAGAAGAGAGGTCGGCGACATACAGTGAACTTTGGAGGTAATAGGATCGCGATAAAGAGAGCAGTGCACCTTTATGTAGTGCGCCTTTAGAGCCGTAGGATGTCGAATCTATGAGGACTCCGTCTAGGTATTCTAATATTGTCTAGCCGATATTTTTAATTATACGGATAATCCCAGAAAATTTACAAAGGAAACTGGAGATAAAGCAGAAAAATGGGAAAAATGGGAAAAAAGAATTACGGTCTACCAAACAGGACAGCAGCACGAGAAAAACTCGTAGATAAACCGTCGCGAACCCCTGTTCAGGATTTCATCATCCCTCGTGGAGGGTTTTCCCGAAGAATTTTTTCACCTCGGTCAAATTCTGTCCACGAAAAGCGAGACCGACTTCGGCAACTAGGACCGAATGTGACAGAATGTTTATTACGATACTCTACCTGGGGAGAGTGTCGTGGCTAGATTGGGAAGCTCTGGCGCCAATGGGCATAAAAGAAAGGAAGAGATTCCATTTTTAGGGGTCTTTAGGCTGACAAAGTGGCCTGACAGATCGGAAAGTCACGCCACTAGGTTGAATTCGCCCCGGTTTAAGAAAGCTTGTTTCGCCTTTGTCACGTCTTATTGGCAATTTACTGCAATTTCTTTGAAGCACAAACACGGGTATCGAGGCTTTGAAGCAGGGAGCATGTGCAAGTGGGCCTCCCACGAAGCAGCGTGGGTTGGGTGTGCCGGTGTGGGAAGAAAATAAGGGCAGAAAAGGAAGAATAGAAAGGATCAACTTCAGGGGTCTTTGTTAGGTCTATTAGGTAAGACTCCGATCACCCGTAATTTGCCAATCCCAAATTGTTTGATTCACGAGTCTAGACAAATAAAGTGGATTCGGCTCAAGTTAAAGCACCGGGTACCCACAAACTCCCGTTCCGCCCCGACTTATTTTCGGCATGAAGCCGGCTCTAATCTAGACCGAGACGGAACACCTAGTTAGGAATGTTGCTAGTCAGGCTAAATTGCCAAGCATTTGGGTATAAGTCACCTGGCTGAATCATTCAACCGAAGAGGTAGGTCTCACTAAGTTGGCCGCACCCGGTCATGGGGACTGGGGAAGCTTATTTTTGCTTATCTCTACAGTAGTGTCAATACTATCATCCACTGTTTGAATGGTACCAACTAGCGAGTCACCAACCGGAGCCAACGCGGCGCGCTACCGAGACTACCGAGATATGAAGATTACGAACTCCTGTCTCCTGCTTAGCCCCGCAACTATACAAATAGGTCTGAAGGCAGTGTTGGAGCATATTTTAATTAAAGGCCCCGGGGTGGATCAAACATCAAAGCGACGTGGCCCGAATTGGGAATTGCTATGGCATCTTTCCGTCTAGAGCCGAAAATTATTAGAGACTCTTGAACTATTAGAGACTCTTGAACCTTCTCGGTCTGTATGTACATATGTCAGGCGTTCTTCAAACCCAAAGGAGTCGAAAACCAGATCCGCAAAGGAGCAGCGTCACGTCAGCCACGGGTCTATGTTCCAGTCGATATCATGCGCCTCTCGGAGCGGCACGGTTTCAGTTACGTTACGAGTCGCAAAACGACAAATGCTGTCGCAAAATGTATGACAGGCTCAACTTTCTAACATACATACATAGGGTACGATGTCGCTACTTGGCTTCGATATCGTGGCAATTTTAGAGTGGCAACTAGGAAATACCGGTTGCTCTTCGTTCTTTGGTTAAATCCTACCAAAAGAAGATTACCCGTGTTACTAACTCGTCCATTAGGTAGGTCTAGAGTCTTTTTGGTGGAGGCGCTACGTCACAAATAACCCTTCTATCGGTAGTCTAGCTATATATGTAAGTAGAAGACAAAAGGGAACAATGATTGAGAATACCCATAAATCCGTGAACGTGCCACGAGAATCCCTACTTTATTTTTTCTGTCCACCAATAAGAGGAGCCCTTTTTGTGTTCCTTTGTTGGCACACGTAAATATTCATGATTTCTCGTAATGTTACCCCAGTAACAACAGCCAGGCGATCCCGAACTACCTCCATCCGATATCGTCGGCCCCAGCGATTTGGCCAGACGCGGTCGGAACGATGTGTATGCATAGCTAGCCGGTCCACTCGCCACGTGCTGTCTGGGGGAGGAAGAAAGCTCCCCAATAGGCATCTTTTGCTTTTCTTTCTTTCTTTCTTTCTTTCTTTTTCTCTTTCGGACGTATGTACATGTGTGGTTCCCATGCATGCGAGCCGCTATCCCCAACATAGTTCCTTTTCGAGGTGGAGACGTGGGCCGTAGATACCTACATAGGCGGACCTTGCAATGTGTGGGTGAAGCTTCTGGAACGACATGTGATGGCCCCCTTTTTACGGGGTCGAGCTACACTAGCAAGCAAGACTATGTATGCAGTAGGCCGGTGAGTTGGGGTGTGTAGCGTGGTGTAGTGTAAATGCGGTCAGGTCCCCCAGGTTGACTTGGTTCCGTTTTCGCTTCACCTTGGGGAGGTGTTGGGTTGACCGCGTTTGCGAACTCGTGGGGTTGGGGGTTTGCTGTTAGGTAAGTGTAATGTGTGTGTGTGGCTGCAGTTACTAATTGAGTCGCGTTATCGTGACTGTTAGCCTGGTGATGTATAAGAAGATGGAAGTTATCTCTACTTTGGTTCAGCCTGCTCATTAGATGTCTACTTTGTTTCTCTGCTAGACTGCCCATGCGTTTGGAA